CTCGCTTCTCTGAGACATTGAAATGAAGAAAGCAAGACAAAATATGACATATAATCGTGTGATGAAACTGCACATATAACAACAGCACAGAGAGAAATGATGGCTCCTCGGCCAACACTTTCAGTAGTCAGTGGTTAGGACCACATTTGCTTTCTTTGTTTTTTTTTTAAATTGTGGTGAAATATACATAACAAAATTTAGTATTTTAACCACGTTAAGTGTATACTCCAGTGGCTCTAAGCACATTCATGTTGTGCAACCATCACCACCATCCACCCCCAGAATTTTTCCATCTTCCCAAATTGATAGTCTGTACAGTGCACACTTTCTGTATCTAGGGACCTGGGTTTGATTTCCCCCCAAACTGTTACTGTGTGAATTTGGAAGGGATATGTTGCTATTCAAAGTCTTAGTTTCTTCTCCATCTGTGAAATGGGGACTATTTTTCCTGCCTGAAAGGGCCAGTTTGAGAATTCCGTGAGAAGGGGGACTGCAAAGTGCTTATAAAATGTCTGACTAGCAGGTCTCTGTCTCCTGCCCAGATGTTTTTTCCTCAGCTGCAAGCCACCCTCCATTTGCCTATTCAACATCTACTGCAAGTCCTACGGGCACAGACCCCACCCGTCCAAAAGGGAGTTCGGCACCCCCTCAGCCCCACCCCAAGCCGCAGCTCCTCCTCCTAGGTTTCCTGCCTTAGTCGGGACCCTCTCCATCCCCCAGTGCACACACTGGAAAGCTGAGGTTCCTTAACTCAGCCCTCAGCATATCCAATTAGTCTCCAAGTCCTAATGGTTCCGTTTCCTACAACACTCGAATTTGTCCACTTTGCCCTTCGCCACGATCCTGCCTTAGTGCTGCAGCCCTCACCTCTCAACTTGACCAAAGTGTCCCCAGACGGGCTCCCTTTCTTCAGTGCCTATACTGCTCCTCCTGGTAAGGCTGCATCTTTCTTAATATCTCTGCCGCTTCCCCACTCCTACCCTTCTCACCCCATTGCAGTAAGACTCTTTGTATGCATGTCGTTCCTCCTGCTTACCTACCTGAAAATGCCAAATGCCTTCTTATCCTTCAACACTTAGCTCACAGGTGCAGCCTCCAGGAAGCCTCCATGGTTCTGCCTCTTACTGCTGGTTGAGGATACCGGCCCCTCATCTCTGCTCCCATCTCATCATATGTTACCCACTAGTATTTGCTGAAAAATACCATAGAAGTACCTTGGTGTGCATTATTTTATATACTATTCACTCCTGATGTCATATCCATACTTCCTCATGATCGAGGTTGATGCTATGGTTATTCACATGTTACAGATAAGAAAACTGAAATTTAACTGTTCAAAGGCACACAAGAGTAAGAGAAGGTACCAGATGTTAAACTGAGTTCTGTGATTTTATGAAATCTGGAGCATCACAAATATAATCAGTAACCTAACTTCTGCTTCTTTCCCTAGTCCCCTGGGTGAGCTGCTTCCCTTTTCACCGTTCTGTTCTCACATCACCTCCTCTGTGCAGTCTGTCCCGCCCTCTCCTTTCCCCAGCTGAGTTAGTTGTTCCTTGCTTGGTGTTTCCATGGGCCTTGGCAGCCCCAGGGAAATTTCCTGTCAGAGTCCCAATTATAATTCCTCTTGAAAAAAATCAGGAGATTGTCAATACGGTGTCTGAATCTCGGCATGGCAGCAATGACCAGAGTTGAGTGGTGTCTCCCCTTTTCTCCCCAGCTTTCAGACAAAGCACGTGTTCTCCACTTCCTTGAAGACCTCACCTCTCTCTGATAGCATCCACCTCCACCACCATCTCCTGTGTGTGGGTTTTCTGCCTGGAACCCTAACCCCCCTGTTCTCTGATTTGTTTCTGAGTCTCTCTGGACTCCAGACAAGCCACCTCTGGAAAGGAGAAGATGGTGTCTTCCCTTTTTTTTTTTTTTTTTCATCTGACCACATCTGCTATATCCAACATGTCACCAAGCAACTGAACCAAAGGCATTCTTTGTCAAAGCCAAGCTTTAGGCCCAGGTCTGCTGTAGCCATTTATTTGTCACTTGCCACTGAACACAAGGTATTGTAACTGCATTGTCAATTCAGAGAGCAGCATCTTCTTCTGTGGTGGCCACAGAGACAGGAAAAACCCATTTAGCAATGGAGGTGCTTTCCTCTTTGAATACAGATTGTTTTTATGTAACTCCCTTGTCTTTGACAGGACCTTCCCTGGTCTTCTGTGTAGAAATGTTAACAGCAGCTCTAAGATTGCACATCCTTAGGTCTACTTAACAGGTTGGCCCTTGGCGTCTGAGAACTTGGATTTAAAGAGTGTTTCCCTATTCCCAGAACTGATAAGAGTGGTCCACTCTGCCTAAAGTACAAATAATGTAGTTTAGGTAGAAAACTTGTTTTCCTTCTGGGAGTCTGGAATTTTGGCACATGCTAGACAGAAGGTGCGTATGTTGCCGGCTCCCAAGAAACGCTCTGGGTACTGAGGCTCTACAGAGCTCCCTTGCACTCAATATTTGCACACGTGTTGTCACGTCCTGTTGCCCAGGGATCTAAGTGTGTCCTGTGTGACTGTGTAACTCCACTGGGAGAAGACTTGGAATCTTGTGCCTGGTTTCGATCAGATTTCACCCCATGTGCCTTTTCCTTTGTTGACTTAGCTTTGTATTCTTTCTCAGTAATAAATCACAGCCATGAGTAGGACTTTAGGAGTTCTGTGGGTGTTCCTAGTGAGTTGTTGAACCTGGGGATGGTCTTGGGGACACCTGACACAGCTTGTTTCTGCTTGTCTGAATCCCACTCCACATCTTCCTTGAAGCCTTCTTCCCTGTTATTTTAACTGTGAGCCATCCCTCCCTAAGCCCAGTGAAACCGTACGCTCAGGCTTTGGAAACAGGGGCTCAGGTCAAATCCTGCCTCTTCTTGGCATGGTGCAGGCCCTGGCAAATGGCCCCTCTTGTAAAAGTTGTTTAATCCTCTTGGCTTGTAACTTAATCTTAGTGGGTTCAGCCTCCCTAAGAGCATAGGCTTTACAGGCAGATCTAGGTTTCAGTCCCAGCTCTTGACTGTCTTACCTCTTGGGAACTTGGTTTCTTCATATGTAAAATGAATTGATTTGGGTTTAATTTGATGGAATCATGCAAAGTACAGCACATAGTGCCTGGCACACAGTAACTATACAGCAAATGGGAATTGTTATTATTGTTTTGGTTGTTGGTATAAAAGTCCTCTCCCCAGGTAGACAGGAAGCATCTAACTCTACTGTATATCTGTCCAGGGCTGAGCATTCTTATGCAAAGCAGGTGCATAAAACTTTGTTGAAAGGATAGTATTTCCTCTACAGTGAAAGGCATGACTGTTGCCAAAATGAAAATAACAAAAGTAGTCACTGTCATTTTAAAAAATCACATTTGAGTTCCTACTGTGTGCCACTCACTGTGCTAAGTAATTTGCATGGATAATTTATTTCATTTAATTTTCATAAAACCCTGCTCATAGGTTGTACTATTATTGTCATCATTTTAAAGAAGATCCAAGATCAAGGTGCCAACATGGTCAGTTTCAGTTTCTGGGGGAGTCTTTTACTGATTTGTGCATGGCAGACTTCTTTCTGGCTCTCACAGGGCATGAGTGTAGGTAGAACGAACAAAGGAACTCTGGTGTCTTTAAAAAAAATTAAAAGAGTTGATTTTTAGAGAGAAACATTGACTTGTTTCACTTATTTATGCATTCATTGGTTGCTTTCTTGTATGTGCCCTGACTGGGGATTGATCCCACAAACCTGACATATTGGGATGACCCTCTAACCAACTCAATTATCCCACCAGGGCTCTGGTGTCTTCTCTTATGACACTGATCGTATAGGATCAAGGCCCCACCTTTATGACTTCATTTAACCTCAATTACTTCCCTAGAGATACCAACCATCTCCAAATTCAGCCACAATAGCAGGTGGGGGCTTCAACACAGGAATTTCGGGTGGGGGAACACACGTAGTCTATAACACCATGCCTGTCTGACACCAGATTAGAGTCTCAAATTAGTCAAGACCTCTGATTTGTTCTGACACTATATTAGGAATGATGTGGGGTTGGAAGGTGGGTGCTTCATTTGCTTCACTGAGTCAGAAACTTTAATCCAAATAGGACTGCTAACCTCTCAGATGTCTAAAAGCAGGCTTCCCATAGGGCTTTGTCAGGGAACACTTTCAAGTGTTCCTGGCTTTAGGAGCCCAGCTACACTTAAGGGTTTAGACTAAAAGGGAAAGAATTTGGGAGAGGGGGAAACAAGTAATCCCACTGACTCAGAAGTCATGACTCAGAAATAAAGTCTTTTTTCTTTACTCCCAAGTCAGAAATGGTTTACTGGAGAGCCCAGTGACCTTTCCAGTTGGGGGCAACAGGTAAGGGAAAATTTCTTTGAAGTTCCTCCAGAGATGTCATTTGAGGCAATATTTATCTGATTTCTTTTTTGTGGTCAGATTGTTTTGGTCCCGATCATTGTTCTGAAGAAGGAATAAAGATTGTCTAGGGAAATGTATCAAACACTCCTTTCATCTCCTTCTTTGCAGAAGAACCAAATTTAATCAGCACATTTGCTTGCATTGTTATTATTTATTTAAAGGACTCCCTGTGTGTTTTCAGAAAAGTAACTCATTCTCCTTGTACACTGTGAGGGGTTGGAGATTGTACTGATATTCCCAAGTACCATTAAGCCAGACAGCTGCTGTGGTCAATTTTTTTCTTATTTTGCTGTGGTCAATTTTCTTCAGAAGATCCATAAGTCCTCAAAGATTACTGAGTATAACTGGATCAGGAATCAGAAGACATAAATACTTAGGCAAGGGTGAGGAAGGATGCAAAGGAGCTGACTGAGTTTTAAAGCTCTGGTAGAATGTAAACCGTGGTTCAAAAATTTTTAATTTTTACAATTATAAACAAGCAATTCTCTCCAAGAGTTTGAATGTTGTTTGCTAGAATTTTAAAATCAGAATTTTCTCTTTTAATCTTCTTTGATCCAGAGACTTAAAAAAAATACTTTTTTTCTTTCTGGAAATGAATCAAGAACTCAAATTGAATTTCCAAAGATCCAAAAGGGGAAGTGGAGTTGCTTCAGGCTGGGTTAGAAGAGCATGGGAATCATGACAAGAGGTTGTCAACTGTCCAGAGAAATTAAAAGTGCTCTCTCCCAAGGTGGAGCTGAAAATGTGGTTAGTACTTAACACCAGAGTGATTCTTGATAGTATTAACTACATTTTGAAATGTAAGCCAGAGACTATTAGGCAGCTTTGCATGGTTACCAAGCAGGATGCCCTGAAGGCCATGCTAAGAAGACTAACAGTGAAGGAAGGTGGGGTTCTAGGGCAAAGGCTGGCAAGCCCATGGCCAAATCTACCCCAATGCCTGTTTTGTAAGTAAAGTGCTACAGTGGCAGGTTGAGTAGTTACAACACAGAAGGTATGGCCCACAAAGCCTAAAATATTTACTTCCTGGCCCTTTGCAGAACAGATTTGCCAAACCCCTCGTCTAGGGCCTCAAATAGGCCCTACCCCCACCTCTTCTTCCACTGGACTAGCTGGAGGCATGGTGTATCAGCATCACTGACCACTCAAACTCCAGCTAGGCTGTTTCTGCTGGCATGAAAAACTTTGCCATCCGTTAATGCCTCAGCCACAGGTTTAATTAAGATGACATAAGCAGTTAAAGCATATCTAGTCTCAATTAGTAGAAGCCAGCAAAGAAATATATAAGAACTTTATTTTTAAAACTTTAAAACTAGCAACAATTAGAGGGGAATCTTCTTTAACTTGATCTTTTCTTCTATATTTGAAAAGTATCTCATCTTTGTTAAAATTTCCTTGGCTTTTTCAAAATCATCTGAAATAAACAGAGACGTTAATGTGAGACTTCAGCTTAAGCAAGAATAAAACTAAGTCTATTGACTAAAGTAGCTGGATTCAAGTTGAGCCCTAGCCTCTGGAGGGCTGATCAATTACTCAATATGTCTGAGCAAGAGACATCTGTATTATTAAGGCGCCAGAGAGGGTCTAGCCAAAAGGAGGCAAAAGCATGCTTATTTACAGGGTTCAGACTTTAAATAAGCGAAGGTGATTCTCTTCAGGACAGTTCCCAAATAATAAATGGTTGTGTTTCAAGTTTTCCTCCATTGCACATGGTGGTCTAACCCCAAGGAGGATGGGGAGGTACTGAGGAAGAGCTGTCTCTGTACCTCGGTTCTGGGAATGAAGCCCTTAAGCCAGTGGTTCTTGACTGGGGGTGATTTTATGCCCACTGGGACATTTGGCAGTGTCTGGAGACATTTTTGGTTGTCTCACCTGGGAAGGTAATACTGATATCTAGTGGACTGAGTCCAGGGGCCCTGCTAAACATCCTACAGGGTAGGGGACAGGCTGGCCAACATGTTGGTAGTGCCAATGTTGAGAAGCTCTGGCTTAGATATATGTAAAACTAAGTAACATACTGTTATATTTAAATATGGTTCAAACTATCAAGAAAAACAAGGAAATGATTAACATCAAATTCAGGAGCATGAAAATACAGTGGAAGGAGGAAGCAATTGTAAAGGGCCTACTGGGTGCTTGGAAGGCAGTGGACATGTTCTATATTTATTTTCTTCTATTTTGTATTTACAAAAATTCTTTTAATTGTGACAAAATACACAGAACATAAAAGTTACAATTTTTAAGTGTAGAATTCAGTGGCATTAAGTACATTCATATTGTTGTGCAACCAACACCACCATTTAGCCACAGAACTCATCTTGTAAAACTGAAACACCATACCTAGGAAACAATAACTTCCTGTTTTCCTCCCTCCCCATCCCATTACTCCAACACCTGGAAATCACCATTCTACTTTGTCTCTATGAATTTGACTACGCATGTCAGTGGAATTATATTTATCTTTTTGTGACTAGTTTATTTTACTTAGTATTAATATCTTCAAAGTTCATCCATGTTGTAGCATGTATCAGAATTTCCTGCCTTTTTTAAGGCTGAATGATATTCCATTGTATGTATATATACCATATTTTGTTTATCCGTTCAACTATTGATGGACACTTGGGATGCTTCCACCTGTTAGCTATGGTGAAAAATCCTGCAAACATGGGTGTCGACCAAAGTTGTCCTTGAGAGAACTCTAGCCAGGCTTCTCTGAGCTCTTCTTAACTAGGCCTTGACCTTGACCTATACTAATATATGCTAACATAGTTTCTAATAGCACAAGGCCATATCTCTACAATAATCCTAGCTTTTCTTAAAATGCCTGCCTGAGTAAATTCAAGGCTGCCCCAAAATTTACTATTTATTGCAGCCAATATCTGAAGATGGGGCCTGTTTCCCAGGCTCTGTGTGAGGGTAAGAACCTTACTTCAGTGTCAGTTTGCAGACCCAGATGGGTTTCAAATGGACCAACTCCCTCATTCCTGCTTTTGGAATTTTTCACTTCCCTGACACTACCGAACCCCTCTGTACCACGATCCCCTTTTCTTCATTCTCCCTTTAAAATGTCCAGTCACAAATTGAGGTTGAGTTCAGGTCACACTAGACTCTTTTCCCTATTGCAATAGTTATTACTGATTAAGATCTGTACTTTGAATTTTAATGTCTGGCTTTGTTTATTTTTGAAAATTATCTGGCACTGTGACTTGGATCTGAATTGAAAAAAACACTGGGCCCTTGGGTAACAGCCAGACCTTTCAACAAGCAGAGACCTTGGTCTAATCTCCAGTCTGATGCTCATTTGGGCACCCAGTGGTGAGACAAACTTCAATTCCCCAGGCGAATGTGTGTTGAAGTACAGTGGGGACAGATTTTGATTCTTAAAATTCTGAGTATACTTTCTAAAGCTGGGTCAGAGTCTCAGGATTCTTTTGACAGGTATCCCCTAAGCTAGAATTCTTCCTGGCTCCTTGTTTCCAGTGAGGATTGACCCCCTGGGCTGGAAATTTTCTTCTTCCTTACTCCTTCTAAGTCCTCTTTGCTTTTTCTATTTGAGTCTGCTCCTCCATGGGGACTTCTCAGTAGACTGAAGCCTCCCTTCTCGAACTCCTGATGAAAGTACGTCACCACGGTGCTCTGTCCATTTCTTAGGATGACTTTACTTAGGAAATCTTGGAATTTCTGTGGCTTCTTTGGGAAACTTCAGATCCCCCCAAACTCTCTCCTCCAAGGCCTCTCCTTCCCCTCACCCCTACTCCTTCCTCCCACCCCCACTCCTTTCTCCTCCTTCACCATCTTCCATCTTCCCTTCAGCTCCCTTGCATCCTTTGATATGTCCCCTTTTCAAGCCCCTACCTCCTCCACTCCTGTGTCCGCACTGCCAGACCTTCCCCTTCTCACTCCCACCCCTGAACTCCCTATAGTTCCTGGGACTTTGGGCTCCTGGTCCTCACTGGGGGCTCTCAAGGGACTCAGGCACCCCAAAAGCAACCTGATAAAGCTGATTGGAAACAGACATTTAGTCCACAGTTTACATAAGATTATATATCAAGGCAAAAAAACGAAACAAAATAAAAAAATCTTAAAAGGTCTTTTCCAGAAATATTGGTGGAAAGCTTCAGCCCTCATATTGAACAGGTAACCTTTAACTTATTCTGTTGCCAGAAACACAATTTGGATAAATCTACAAAATGGAACAAAAATGAGAACCACTCTATATGTAAACTAATGAGTTTTATATTATTGTATTTATTTATGCCTGACTTATGGCTAAAATCTTAGAATGAAAACCCTAAGATCTCTATTTGCATTGGCCAGTCTGTTATGTTTATATATATAAGTGATATTTTCCTACCTCTAGATGGTATATTACCAAATTACTTTATAAAACCCTTAGAGGAGTTGTGTCCTTCCTGCCCTGGCCAGTGTGGCTCCTTTGGTTGGAGTGTTGTCCCATAACTGGAAGGTTGTGGGTTAAGTCCTAGGTTTAGGGGAGAATAGGACGTAATAAATCAATGCTTCTCTCCCGCATTGATATTTCTCTCTCTCCCTTTCTCTCTAAAAACAATGAAAAAAAAAAGTCCTCGGGTGAGGATAAAAATAAAATAAAAAAAAAAGGAAAAAGACTTGTATACTAATTGAATTAGAGAGAAGTAAGATTTATATAAATGAAATCTTCCTAAAATATCCAGAAATATAGGAACTAACTCAAATGTTTTTCAGTTTCACATAATTTAGATAAATCTTTTGGAAATAAGACTTAGTTTGATGTTGTTGGTTTAATATGATAGGTACATCTTCAGAGTTGTCAACAGTAAATATAATGCAAGCATACATTTTTATTCTACTTAGGTTTACTAGTCAAATAAACATATTAGATATTTAAGATTATAGAAATGATAAAATTGATATTACTTAAATTAAATTATTTTGAAAAACTATTTCAACAATAATAGTGTTTCATAATGTCACCTAAAAATCTTTTCCAAAATCTTTTTGGCAACTTGCAACCTTAGAGATATGCTAACCTAAGTGGAATAACAGATTTTCATTAAGTGTCTAATTTCTGAATAAGATAAAATGCTAACAACATTCATCATTGTGCACTAGTTTAAGTTTATATACTTTGGCTTCTTATTTTTATATGGTCTAGGGAAGCCAAAGATATTTGGGTATGTTAATAAATATGTTATCGCCATATTTAAAAAAAAAGTATTATAAAAAGCATGTATCTCCAGGGATTATGAGATGGTACATTAATAAAATTTGCTAATCTGCTTACAGAATTCTGGTATATAATAGTTCTCAATTGCCTATTTCCCAGTTTTCTCTGGAAAATAAAGATTACTAACAGTTTAAATTTATAATCAATATATAAAAACAAAACTACTACAAACAATAGGAGTGAAGGGAAACAACTTTGTATACTAATTATGGAGAAAAGTAGAATGTGTTCTTACATGAAAAGTATGCAAGGAAAGGAGAAATGTGTTTTTGTAAAGATAAAAAGGAGAGTGGTTTTTTCCTAAAGTAGAATGTGAAAAAGGGAAAGAGCTGGGTAAAACCTGAATGGGTATTAAAAAAAGTTTGTGGAAAAGGAAATGTTTATGTTATGATGTCAAAGCTGGCAAAGATTAAGTGGATTTATATATGAAGTGCACTATTACAAAACCAGAGTTTGGTTTTCTCTCTGTTGAAATTACAAAGTTTCTTGGATTATTGGTCTGCTCTTAATAAAAGACTGTAAGACACATTTCTTACTTTCTGGAGATAAATATTCTGTGTCTTCTCAAAATAATTTCCTGTACTTCATGTTGTTTTTATCATGGCCTTGATTACTTAAGAGAACCAAGTCTTCTTACTATTCAAAGAGCTAAGGTTTTCTTTTTTTCTTTTTCTATGTTACCTCCTATATTTGGGGTTTGAAATCTTTTATCACTACTTTGGTTAAATAGACAACTAAGTTTCAAAATGAGCTATTGTCCTATTTAATTAAATTTTCAAACCTTTTGACATTTTTGACAACTTCCCAAATCAAATTCTAAACAAAGTCTTCTTGAACTTGAACTGAGTTTGAAGTTTCCAAAAGAACCCCTGGAAAACCTCAAAAGATTTGTTCTCTCATCTTATAAAAAGAGAGATATGAAACAAATTAGGTTTATTTGATATGGTTATATAACATGGGAAGCAGTATCATAGAAGAGATATTTAACCTTCCCTAGGTTACATTTATATGGGTAAAATGTTGTTATTTTAGAAATTGTATAATTCATAGACATTTGTCAATGTCATCACTATCCATAATATATCTTGGTATAATGTTATCAACTCAATTATCATTTAAAAATGTGTATGTCACATAACCAACCAAATTTCCGTGTCAGTTGTGTTATTTTTGTAATGAAGTCTCATCAGATCTTTAACTATGGTCTCTTTAAGTCTTTTGCTATCCATAGATAGATGTTTTACTCTAATGCTTTCCTAAAAGCTTCTGCAACCAGCTACAGGCCAGACTACTTGTGTTTAACACAACAGGACTATCTTGAAGATCCATGAAAAAGGACTGTGCCAGGTACTCTGGGTTACAGGCTTCTGATGGCATTGCTTAAATAACTTTGAAATCAAACTGATGAATTAAGTCAGGATTTCTAAAAGCCAATGGGTTCATAAAACTGCTAACCCAAGATCAGGCAGAACAAAACTGATTACATCAGATTGAGTTAACTGATGAAGAATGGCTATAATTAAAAAAAAAAAAAAGATGCTATTTATTTATTTTTGAGAAAGGGGAAGGGAGAGAGAGAGGGAGAGAAACATTGATCTGAGAGAGAAACAGTGATCGGTTTCTTCTTGTACATGCCCATGCCCTGACTAGGGACCAAACCTGCAACCTAGGCATGTGCCCTGACCAGGAATTGACCTCTGACCTTTTACTTTCAGGGACAATGACCAACCAATGAAGCCACACTGCTCTCGGTGACTATAGTTTTTTAATATTTTTTTTATTTGAAATATTGCTGGCTCTTAAATGAGCTATTTCCCAGAATTAAGACAAATCCTGTTCTGTTTTCTCTTAAGCTATCTTCTTTTCTCCCTGCTTGATTGCTAAAAATATTGGAAACTATTATTGAATATTCTTATTTTCATAGCAATATATTTATATAGGTTTAATAAGAATCTGTCCTCTTTGTGATAGGACAGAATTATGAAGGCTTTGACTAGAATGCCATATTTAAAAATGATGCATAAAATCAGATATGACCAGCCCTGGATGGTGTGGTTCAGTGGATTGAGTGCTGGCCTGCAAACCAAAGGGTCACCAGTTCGATTCCCAGTCAGAGCACATGCCTGGGTTGTGAGCCAGGTCCTTGGTGCGGGGCACATGAGAGGCAACCACATATTGATGTTTCTCTTCCTCTCTTTCTCCCTTCCCCTCTCTCTAAAGAAAAAATAAATAGAATAAAAAGAAAAGTCAGGTATGACCAGATAATTTTAAGGAACTAAGGCTGACTATTTGGAACCAATGCTTATAAAGCCCTCTTGAAACTTTTTGCCTGGAATCTGGCTTAAAGGGTTCTCAACCTTATAGGTGAGTAAGTAAAGTAACTTCCTGGCACGCTCCGGAAACTTAGGATATTTCAGGGACCTTGAGAAGAGAGGAATTCACCCACTGAAGGTGATGCCTGATAGAGGATTTTTTGGCTTGACTTCTAGCACTGAGAGGCTTTTGAAGTCCAACCCAAGATTCCTTATAAAAAGTTCCATAAAGAAAACTTGAAAAGGCCTGTATGGTCAATTATCATTCTTGTTGGAGTCACATAAGTAATCAATCCAAACTTAATGCAACTAAAACTATTTTTTAAACAACAATCATCTTAATTTATCTTTGATTACATAGGAGGGTGAGTGTAGAGATAAATTTTATGTTTCAGGGGAAAAATATAACACACCCTGTGGGTTATCATAATCTAGACTTGTTCATTGTCTTTGCAGTTTTATTTACCTATAAACTGAACTAGATCCTGCCATATTACACATTTTGTCAGCCTTTACCAAATCCTCAGTTCTTCTACCTTCCTTCAATATCTGGCCACAGCTCTACAAAATGATGTTTCCAATTTTTTACCCTCCCTCCTGACTGCCTAGATCATTTTTGGGACTCAGGTTATCTTGTAGTTGCCCTTTTCCTCCAGAATCTGAGAAAGTCCTGCAAGCTGAAGCCTGATAACTTAGAGCTGCTGGTACATGGGCCACCTAGAAAGTCCACCAGAACTCCTGCATGTCCCATGCTCTGCTCTGGGAAATAACCATGACTGTGACAATGATATCTCTGCCATCATCACATTCAAGCTATCAACCAGGAAATCCATCAGATTGCCACTGCCACCCTCATGTCACCACTAAAGATGCTTAGGAGTTCAGTGTCTTCTCAAATGGCTTCACTCTTGACTCAGAAACTGTTGATTATATTCTGCTCCAACAGTAATCTTTGTTTTTCTTTTTGTTTTTATAGAGATACTCCTAATTAAATGCCTGATTGCTCATGTTATTCAACAAATGTCCTCTAACTACCGTCTCAACAGATGCTTCAGCTCGTACTTAATAAACAAAAGACAATCAAATGAGAAATGGACTTATGTTGTTCAGAGGAAAGAAGAACATCTATTCTTGCTGTCTCTTTCTTACAGTTTGTTCCAGCCAGCACCTGAAGATACAGTACCTGTGTCCGGCTCTGTGGGAGGGTGGGTGCCCAATTTTGATAAGTGCCAGTAAGCAAGCCTCGACCTATTTTATATGGACCAACTTCCCCCCTTTCCACTCTTTGGAATTTTTCATTTCCCTGACTCTACTTAGCCCCTGCGTACCCCCTCCCCATTTCCTCATCATCTCTTTAAAGTGTGCAGTCACACAATTTAAAAAAAAAATTAATTATAAAAATTAGAAAAAAATAAAATAAAATGCCCAGTCACAAATTGAAGTTGAGTTTAGTTCATGCTAGACTCTTTCCTATTGCAATAGTTACTACTGATTCAAATCTGTCCTTTTTGCTTTAACTAGTATCTGGCTTTGTTTATCTTTGACAGTGCATACAAGTATCTTTTTGAGCCCCTGCTGTCAATTCTTTAGATATTCCCAGAAGTGGAATTGCTGGATTGTATGGCAGTTCTATTTTTAACTTTTTAGGAAATGCCATGTTTTCTTTAGTGACTGCACTATTTTACATTCCCAGCAACAATGCACAAGAGTTCCAACTTCTCCATATCCTCGCCAAAACATTTTATTTTCTGCATTTTTAAAACAATTTACAGTAGCTGTTCTAATGTGTATGAGATAGTATCTCACTGTGGTTTTGATTTTCATTTCCTTCATGATTAGTGATGTTGAGTATATTTTTATGTGTCTATTGGCCATTTATATATCTCATTTGCATGTTCTATTTCTTAAGCTGGGTGGTGAGGACATAGGTGTTGTTATTATCCTTTAAATTGTACTTACACATTATTCTTTTTCACAATTATATTTTATAATTAAAAAAATAGTATACAAAGGCACAACAGCAGCTGGGGGTGGGCCCTGGTGGAACACAATTTGACCATCCTAGCCTGTGGGCTGGGTGACGTGGGTTTCAGACAGATACATGGGTTTCCTGTCTTTTCTGCTGTTAACCTTTATTTCTCTCCTACTTTTTAGAGGCCCTCCCTGTCCCTGCTTTCAGAATCAACTCCTACAGTCTGCAAAGTAGGCAGCATAGATATAAGCCTACGCCCATGGCCCTAGCAGACTGTACCGGATTGGACATCTGGCTAAAGCTGGGCCAATCAAATTCCCTCTCCCAGAAATCTAGAGGTGGGTCTAAAGGACTATAGCCAGATGGTGAAAGGCCTTGTTCTTATAATAGATCTAGGAGGACTAAAGAGTCATCCAGTGGGAGAGGCCACTTTGGGGCACCATATACCAAGAAAGAAGCAGACAGAAGTGGTTTTTAGAGAGATGATGGAATGCATTACCATGGACTGTGAGTCTAGGAGCACAGTCGGTTCCAGACCGCTTTTCGGTTCCCAGGTTCTGTTGCAGAAAAACTCTTACCACGCTGTACTGTAATATATTGCAGGGACTTTCTCTTTGGATTCTGGGAAGTAGCCCTGATTCCTTACAATAATTTCCCTTTATTTGGGCTACCCTGAGGAGCTTTCTGCTTCTTACATTAAAATGAACCCTATGTTAAAGGGCCATTATTCTTTTATTAAGGCGGTAGCAACAGTCAGGAATGGATTGAAAGGTTGTTCTTGCTTAAAAACAGGTAGCAATGAACATAGTCTCTTCACTCTGAGAGCCACGTCATGGTGACAAAGATGAGTGGTTCATATTTGTAATTTGGGCAGTGCTCTGCCATAGGCTTCTCTCCTCCTGGGCTTTGTAGAAAAAGGGGTGTGCAGGCCTTGTCAAATGCTGAATGTGCAGCCTTGCCCTCATCTATCTGTGTTGGCTTCAGCACACATCCTTCATCTTATCTTTTCCTACTTATGAGAGGACTTTTTCTCATTTAACTTTCACTGGCATGAGATGATTTTTTGGCACGTGCCTTCTTTGTCCGCAAGACTGTGAATTCTGAAGGCAAAAATGTACACTCATCTATATTTAATACATTCCCATGTAACTATCATAAGATGGGTACATAATAGCTATTTGTTGAATGGATGCTTGTACCTCAGTGCTTATCATTTCTTTCCATATTTGAGAAAGAAATGAAGACAGTACCTTGTTCAAAAGCTCTGCTCACACTGTCAGTCAATTCTTTCTGTTTTGCTGAAAGAGAAAACCGTTATCTTAATTTTTCCATTTAAATAGACTCATGATATGAAGACAAAGCTGCATTCCAGAGAAGAAGGGACGTTACATCCTAATCTCCAGACAAAATAGGTTTCCGTATACCCAAGACAAAGATACTCCCTGAAGCATTATGATGACCAATATGTATTTTTATATTCATTTTGCACTTAAACAGCAGACATATAATAGCAATAAAATACATATGGTGATATTTTATCCTTTACCTCTGACAGAAGATTCAATCTCTTTCATGGCAGCTTCATTTTGAGCCTCTGCGAGCTTTTCATTGATATCCATTATTTCCATGAGGAATTGCCTGTCCATTTCATAATCTGTTCCTTCAGGAATCTCTACTCCATGGAGCTTTAGCTTTTGGGGCACAAAGCAGAGAAAATAAGTTGTGTTCAAGAAACTGTGGCCAACATCGTAAATCCTACTGACCTTTCCAAAAAGAATACCACTCAGGGAAAACTTGAACTGTCCTAATAATGAAAGTGTGAGGGTAGTGTGCCGGAAACAGACTGAGAAAGGAATGCTTGGACGGGATCCCTTTCTGCTTACAAGTGTGTGACCCTGGGGGAGCCATTCCTTCATTGTGAGTATTTGTAAAGATTCTATCAAATCCTAAAATTCTACAGTACTCACCTCCACCCTCCTCCCAAACCCCTCAAATTACTTTCCTAAAAGCCACTGTCATACAATCCTTGAAATTTATAGAAAATGGTTTAAAAAAATGCGATTAGACAAGTAAGATTTACAGAGAATATTCAGAGAAAACTACACTTATGTACTATCTTCGGTTCCCTAAATTGGCTCAGGGCTCAAGTGCTCCTCTGCTGAATACAGGGGAGCAGCACGGGTGTCCAACCTGCAGTCTGTGGGCTGCATGTGGCCCAGGATGGCTATGAATGAGGCCCAACACAAAATCTTAAATTTACTTAAAAAAAAAAACATTATGAGATTTTTTTTTTTTGTAATTATGTGTTGCAATGTATTTAATGTGTGGCCCAAGACAATTCTTCTTCCAATGTGGCCCAGAGATGCCAAAAGGTTGGACACCCCTGCCTTAGTGCAATGGACACCAGGTAGTCACTCATAGAAGGGTTGGGAAATCACCTTACAAGGTATAGTCCCCTACTCAGGGGAGCCAGAAGGGTCTTATAGGCGTCATTCACCAGGGTCGAATGCTTCTCTGAGAAGTCCTTTTCTCTCTGTTAGTGGAGATGAAGATAGTTTTATTACCATCCAAATCAGTCATTTCACATTAACAAACTGTTTCATAAAATACCGATGGGCAGGGACCTAAGAAGTGGCCAAAGCTGAACTGGTGTGGGATGAGCTATATTTATTTTCAACTGATGGGTTCTAATTCTACAGAACAGGTCCAGGGCCTGGCTGGCTGGGGACTGGCTGCCACATGGTGGAGCTGTCCAGCTCTGCCTCATAATCAAATAACCACAAGGCCACAGCCACCCCCATGGAATGCACATATGTTTGGGTATGATTAAGGATGGCCAAAAGACTACCTGAGACCTCTGGCTGAAGAAGTCTGGGTGAATTAGACGCTGTAGTTGCTGGTACCTATGCTGGAGCTTTGTAGTGTCAACTCTGAAGGAACGGTTGCTGGAAGGAAATTGAGAGACAAAATTTATGCATCAAATATTTATAGATTTGTACACTATGGGCCTGGTTCCTTTTCCCATGGGCGAATATGCAGTAAACATGGAGACAGTGATAACTTCCAAAAGTTGTAGGTGCTGGGAAGGAAAACAGAATAGGATCAGAGAGACTGGGAGATATGGTGGACAAAGAGATGGCATTTGAGCTGTGACCTGAACGGTAGTGATGAGCAATCAAAGATCACAGGAGGATCATCAAGACAGAGGAAACATGCTAGTTTGGCACCCTGGAGGAACTTAAATAATTAGTTTTGTTTCAGCACTCAGAAGTGCTGAAGGACTGGTGAGGCCAGATCCCAGAGATAAGGGGAAGGGGCATTACCAAATCTCACCGTGTCTTTCCAAGGCCAGGGTCCCTTCATCTGTCAACCTACCTTGTTTTAATCCAGTCCCTTTCGCTTTCAATCCCCAGATCCTGACCCATCTAATCGGTTTAGCTCTGCCCAAAGTTCACCACCTCTCCAAGCTCCTCAACCTTCGGAGGAAGAGGAAAATCACACATTTCTTTGACTCTCGCCTTCCAATTCTAAGTTTTCCCTTAGACTCCGCCCACCACATTGGTTTTTTTCGTGTTTTTATTCCTTTATTTTGGATAATACCTCAGTACTCCTTTCTTAAAAGTTTAAACCGTACTTTAATTGTTCTGACCCCATCCCTCAACTCTCCTTTCTCTGGGGCCTTTCAAGTAACCTTTCCCGCAGGCCCCGCCCCAAGTCTCCCTCCCGTAGCCTCCAGCACTCAATTTTCCCTAACTATCCCCTGCTACTCCAGTCCCCCCACCACTTTTGTCTTGGTCCCTCAATTTCCTCTTCCTCAGGTCACACCCCATCTTTCACTCTCCCAGTCCCCATCCCCTTCCCCTGGTCTCTAGGGTTCCGCCCACCTATCTAACTGGTCCCACCTTCTTCCCGAATCTGATCGGCCCTTCCCTCTCGCACGCCTGCTGCTGACGTCTCTCTCGCCCTGCGCGTTTCCCAAAACTGCCTCCCGTACCAGTCCATAAGGCTGAAGTGGTCTCTAGTGGGGTCAGGTGGCTGCAGAGCCCGGCACTGTGGGCAGAAGAACCCGTCCCCCCGAATGAGGTCCCCTGGGCCGCCGCAGTTCCAACACTGGGGGGAGCTGTTTCCTTTTAGCGACGCAGCATTGCAGCTCAGCGGTCTCCGTCCGAGGACCCCTGTTGGCCACAACCCCCACAGCCGGGACAAGGTCCAGGTCCTACCACCCCACATCTGGCCCGTGGCCTATTTCGCAGCGGTCAATGGAGAAGGGAAAACCGGGAAAACTGCGGCCGACCAGATTAGTACTGCTGATTGGCTGGAGAGCAGAGGGGGCGGGATCACTAGGGGGAAACCTGGATTCTGAGTCCCGGTCTATGTTTTAAACTACAACTCCCAGCAAGCAGTTAGGCTAGCTTGGATGGCCACATCCCCTGCTCCTCACTGGTCCGGCGGCAGCGAAGGGGTGTTTTGATTGGTTCAAAGTGGAGTTTGTATTTGTTTAGCGCCACGCCGCCGGCTGCAGCTGCTGAGTGTGTGGTTCCTGGTGGGCTCATGTGGTGAGTCTTAGTGGGGAACGTCTCTTGGGTGTTTGGGGGTTCGAATCCCGTCCTCAGCATCTTATGAACGCTGAATCTCCCGACCTTAGGCTTTGCCTTCCTTTTTGAACTCGGGAGGATGGGAGGGTGGGAGGGTGGGAGGGTGGAAGAGCAGTGCGTGGGCGACACTCTTCCTTCTTTGTAGTTGAACTTCCAGGTGAAGTTCATTTCCCCTGTTGCTTACAAGCTGAAGCTGTCCAGGACGTGCAAGATAAGAAGCAGCAAAGCTGTACTCTTCAAAATCAGAGCGAAGTTGCTTTGTAAAGAGTTCTATAAGTGTTAGTAATTATTACCATACTTTCGGTTCAATCTCAAAATACCGAGAACCCGCTCAGCTGCTACGCACTGCAGGAAGTGGAAACACACCTGTGCAGGAGGATTCCCTGCAAGTGTCCATAAGTAAGGATGTGGAATGGGGTGGCGAGGAAAGGGCAGGGAAGCACCAGTCCTCCTTGGTGTCTTTATTTGGGGCCGGGGGGAATTGCGTTGCACTTCTAAGGTGCTTTTGGATTCTTTGGGACTGGAATTCTGTTCTCCCAATTATAAAGCATTGCTGGGGGAGGAGCTTCCATGCATCATTTCATTTAACCCTCAATATCTGCTTTTATCAGATAAGGTTCCAGGTCGTTGTGATCCACCCAAAGATCATGCAAAGATCTGACCCAGGCATCTGACTCCAGGCCTATTTGCCTGTAACCACTCCACTGAGACCAGTGTGGTGCCCACCTGGTTGACCCTTATTTATCATAAGCCATGATAGCTACATCTTCACGCGTTGTCTTTTGCCAGTTTTCAGGGTGGAGAAGTCTTGCTCAAGGAACTGCAGAACACAGCCTGGCGGAGGTAGTGTTAAAGCAGCTGGAGTGGCAGACTGCTCTGGCACCACCTTCCTCGTGTGCTTTAAGGAAAACTCGTCGGGACTTTTGTATCTGGAAAGCTGTGTAAATGCAGTCAGTGTGAGTAATGCTTACTATGCTCTCCTGGAGGAGTAGTCTGAGTGTGCGAATCTGGAGAGAAAGTGCCTTTAAAAAAGAATCAGATTAGGGATTTAAAGTTAGAGGGTTTGAAAGTTACTTTGACTTTTCCGTAGGCTGTTATCAGAGTTTAACTGTCCATCAAGTTAATTCTAAAGCAAGGATGGGAACCTCTGTTAGGGTCTTCTGTGGCTCAAAGAATGGTTCCTGAAAGATTGTGAAGGGCTGGCAGGCCATTTAGGTTGGTGAAAAGATGAGCCCATAGTCACTTAGCATCACAAAAGACTAGGTGGAGTTGTTTATGGCAGTCCTCTTTGTGCTCTGTATGCCTCTGTGAGTGGCCCAGCACTTAGCGGTTAAGGAATCTCTAATCAACCAATAGAACTTGGTCCTTACCTTCCGGAGCTGGTTGTGGGGAGGAGGGGCACCAGTAATCTTCTATGTAAATACCTCCTCCCCCACAGTTGTGCAACAAATAACTGAGGTTTCTCTGCCCTTCATCTACCCCAAAGCCACCAGACCCTTCCCCTTCTTTCCCTTTCCAAACATATATGACATTTTAAGGGTAGCGTTGGTTGTATTAATGAATACATTTTAGGTTTTATTTCTAATTTTTAAACAATGGGTGAAGGTAAACTGTTACAAGTCTTTTTCCCCTCCTCAACTCCTATTTCATTGCTTTTTAAAAAAATAAATTAATAGCCTTTGAATAATTTTTATTTTTTGTTTCTTCCCCCTGTGGTTTGTGGCTATCAGACAAAAAACTGATCTAGAGAAAATGATCTGATGAAAAACAGCCCAGGACTGTAGGTCTAGACTGTTAGAATTTTAATTTTTGCAGAGCACACTTGCCCTGGATTTTTTTTGGCCATTGTAACATGCTCATCCTTTACTCTCGAACTCTAAGTCTTGTTCCTTGAAGCTCGCTCACCTTATTTTTGGATACTTATTTTTTGAGGTCGTGATGTCTCAGGAGCAAGATGCGGAGTGTCAGCAGCCCCATGGCAGCAGCACCTGCTCACAGTCCCAAGGTGGTTTCTCGCAGTCCCATGGCCCCTCCTCACAGACACAAGGCAGCTCCTCACAGTCCCAGGGCACATCCAGCTCCTCTACCAGCACAGTGCCAACGTCCAGCCAGTCTTCTCACTCCAGCTCGGGGACACTGAGCTCCTTAGACACAGTGTCCACTCAAGAACTCTATTCTATTCCTGAGGACCAAGAACCAGAGGAGCCTGCCCCTTGGGCTCGTTTATGGGCCCTTCAGGATGGATTCTCCAATCTTGGTAAGGCCCTTTGTTATATAGTGTAATATTAATATGGTGTTTGGGAAAAACAACCCCCAGATATTTGCTGCAGCAGAATGCTCAAGCTACTGCCAGTTGTAGGGCCTGTACATATTGACTCAGGACTATAAGCATCCATGCTGAGGCTTGAACCTGTGCCAGGACCTGTCATCCTTCCTGCACTAGGACAGCTTCTGTCCTCTGATGCTGGCCTATCTGATGTTGGGCGGAATGTGGGACTATCTTATTTAAATTTCAAAATTGTCCTCTGAGTGTATTATTCTTATCTCCATTTTACAAAAGTGTAAAGTGAGGCTTAGAGAGAAATTGATTAACTTGTTTACAGCCATACAGGTAGGAGTCGGTAGAGGCATGATTTAAACCTATGCTCTTAACCTGTTATTATGAAAGAAAGGGTCAGAAAGGTAAGGAAATTAGTTAGCCGAAAAGGAACCTTGTTACTGCATGAAATGAAAATGAAAGGAACTGGTAAAGAGGGAAAGACTTAAAATACTTGAGTGGGAAGAACATAAGGGTGAGACTATAGCGGGGAGAGTCGGGGAAGAGTGAGGGTGCGAGTCAGAGGGACAGGGGTTCAAGTTGTAGCTGCCTCTCTCTAGCTGGGTAATCTCAGGCAAGTCATGCTACTTCTCTGAGCCTCACACTCATCTGTTAAATGGGAAAATAATATTAAAGCAAAGGTGAGGGAGATAAGCCAAAGGTTGGGAAAAAGAGAGATGGGTTAACTTTTCCCCCTGATGCCTTTAATTCGTTTAGTGATATAGGGTGTTCTGAGAGGAAGACAGTGAGTTTGAACTTTGAAGGGGTCTAGAATCCTGGCAAAGAGAAGAGCTTATTTAAACTTTCAACTCACATGTTAAAAACAATGCATCTCTTCCCCTCCCCAAACACTCTCTCATCTGCACCCCCTTCTCTGCTGGGAGGAGGGGCCCATCCTTCCTTGGGTTCAGACCTTTAATTTCCTCTCTGGGAGCTTTTGGTCCCTTGCCTCCTCCATTGTTCTTTCTGCCCTCCTCCACACATGTGCCTGAGGACCCTCCGAATGAGCAAAGGTCAGAGCAGGCCTTCCGTGGGAGGTTGCCCCTTGCATTCTCTGTTCACAGCCCTAGACAGTTGTTAGTGTCCCAGTGAACTCTCCATGCCCTTCTTTTTCCAACTGCCCTGAAGCTCCTGGTTTCTAGTGGAAATGCCATGGTTCATTTAGTCTTTCCCTCATTAATAGATGCTTAGGTTGTTTCCAGTTTTTGTTCTTGCACGCAAGGTTGCAGTGAACATCCTTGTAGTTGTCTTCTTGGTCAGTTGGGCAAATGTTTCTCCAGGGTAGAGCCTAAGCTGGGTCACAGATTAAGCATGGCTTTACTTTGTAATGGGTGCTTCCATACAGCCTTCCAAAGAGTCAGTCTCTTCCTTCTGACACTTCTATCCTTCCTGTCTCGCCTCTTCCAAGAAGCCTCCTTGATTGCCCTAGGCAGAGTTGCCTAGGCCTTCCATCTTGACCTCCTTGGGACAGTCTACCTGCATTGTTGCGTCCCTGTTTGTCTTCCCACTAGACTGCAGACTCTTTTCAAGTAGTTAATTTGATTTTTTGAAATGGTCATATTTGCATTCGGTGCAAAATTCTTTACCTGACTTCTGTCCTTCCGTTCAATGATCACCCGTTCAATGATCACCCGGTATTGCAGATCCTCCCGCCCTCCCTCCCTCCCCCCACCCCCAGCCTTTCCTCCTTTCCTTCCTTTCCAGATTTCTTATGTAGCCTTTCAGATATTTGGTAGAGAGGGAAAAAAAAACATTGATTTGTTGTTCTACTTATTTATGCATTCATTGGCTGATTGTTGTATGTGCCCTGGCTGGGGATCAAACCCATAACCTTGGCATATTTGACAATGCTCTAACCAACTGAGCTACCTGGCCAAGGCCTCATTCCTCTTTTATAGATACATAAATTTATTGAACCAACCCCCTTACTAATGGATGTATAATTTTATAATTTTCTGCTTGAGAAAATGCTATAGTTAATAACCTCGTACATGTGGCTTTATGTCCTTTCATAATGCATATAATTCTATCTGTAGGATAAATTCTTAGAAATGGAATTTCTAGGTCAATGGCTGTGTGCATATGTAATTTTTAAAAATTGAGGTGAAATTCACATACCAAAACTAAACATCTTGAAGTGAACAGTTCAGGGGTATTTTGTACATCAGAAAATTGTGCAACCACCACCTCTGTCTAGTTCCAAAACATTTCCATAACTCCAAAATAAAACCCGGTACCCATTAAGCAGTTATTCCTCATTTCTGTCTCCTCCTGTGCCAATCAACCACCAATCTGTATTTCATTTCTGTGGATTTAACTATTCTAGGTATTTCATATACGTAGTCATACACTATGTGGCCCTTTGTGCCTGGCTTCTTTCACTTAGCATAAGCTTTATCCATGTTGTAGCATGTATAAGTACTTTGTTCCTTTCTATGGCTGAGTAATATTACATTAGGTAAAACCAGTTTGTTTATCCATTCATCCACTGAGGGACATTTGGGCTGTTTCCACCATTTGACTATTGTGACTGGTGCAGGTATAGACTCTTGTGTATAAGAATTTGTTTGAGTATCTGCTTTCAGTTCCTTTGGGCCTATACCCAGGAGTAGAATTGCTGAGTCAGTAGACAGTTCTATGCTGAAGTTTTTGGAGAACTGCATATTGTTGTCCACAGTGGCTGTATCATTTTACGTTCCCACCGGGAATGTGTGAGAGTTCCAGTTGCTTTATATCTTTGCCAATATTTGTTATTTTGAAGAAAGAAATTATAGCCATCTTCATGGGTGTGAAGTGGTTGCCTATGTGATTTTGATAGATCTTGCCAAATTACCCTCCCTAGATGGTGTAAAGTTATATTCTGACTGGCAATGTATGAGAGTAGCTGCTGCTTCGTAATTCTTATGACCATAGTGTAATATGGACCTTTTTGATTTTTGTTAATCTGATCATTGAAACATGAAATCTTAATGTATTTTTGGTTTTTAAAATTTCTGGTATTGAGTTAGCTTGGCCATCTTTTCATATGCTTTAGGCATTTGTATTTCTGCCTCTTATAACTTTATCTTTCGCCCTTTTTTTTAATCCTCATCTAAGGACATGCGCATTGATTTCAGAGAGTGGGAGGGAGGGGGAGAGGAGAGGAACATTGATTGACAGCCTCTCGCATGCACCTCAACAGCAACTGGGCCCTGACTGGGACAGAACCAACAACCCAGGCGTGTGCCTTTACCTGGAATCAAACCTGTGATGGTGCTCCAACCCACTGAGCCACACCTGCCAGTATATCACCTGTTTTCTATTGGATTGCTTGTCCTTTTCTTATTCATTTGTAGGAACTTACATATATTAGGGAAATCAGTCCTTTGTCTGTGATATAAATTGCTAATATGTTCTCTAGTCTGTCTTTGTAGGAACACTTACTGGCCTGGCATATGCATTGTCCTAGATGCTGGAGCTGTACTTTTAAACAAGAGAGAGACTCAAGGCTGCCCTCCTGGTGTTACATTCTAACAGGGGAATGCTGGGAAAAAATACACAAATAATCAAGATAATTTCCAGTTATGGTCTATACTTAGAGGGAAATGAAACAGGCTGTCGTTATGATAATAGATGTGCAGTGAGGTGGGAATCTACTTATTCAGAAAGCTGAGTGGGGAAGATTATTTGGTCCAGACACAAAGGCAAAATGGCCATTCAAATCACTGGGAACAAAGTACGCAAAGGCCATCTCAGGGCATGTTGGGCCTGGCATATGCGGGGCTGTGCAAGGAGGCCAGTGGGGCGGGCTGGAGTGAGCCAAGCGGAGGGGCACGGGGGAGGCTGGCGGGGGTCAGGTCCTGAGCACCTAGCCTGCCATGAGAAGGAGTGCAGATATTCTGAGTTAGATACGAAGCCTCAGGAGGTAAAGGGTAGAAAATAATTGTAAGTATTTTTCCAGATGATTAAAAATTGTTTGAGGACTTCTAATGACTGCTTGTTATTCTGTGGTTATGTATAAACCATAGTTTCTTAAACTCGTTGTTGGAAATTTTTTGTTCTCTCCTCATTTTTAATCGTATAATATCTTGGTAAACCTATAATTTTGATTGCTTTATTAGGCTATTTTCCTACGAGTAGATTTTATGAGCAATTTTTAAAGGTGTTTGATACATGAAATTCAATAGCTCTCTGGTGTGTGCTTTGGTGTTACAGAGTGTATTAATGACAGCTACTGGTTTGGGAGGGATAAAAGCTGTGAGTACTGCTTTGATGAGCCACTGCTGAAAAGCACGGATAAATACCGGACTTACAGCAAGAAACACTTTCGGATTTTCAGGGTAGGTGACAAATAACCACATGTTTGGGAGAGCTGGTAATCTAGTGATCACTCTTAGATATCTTCCCACATTAACTCCCTTTTGTTAAAGTTTTTAAATAAAATGTTCTCTATTTTAGGAAATGGGTCCTAAAAACTCTTACATCGCATACATAGAAGATCACAGTGGGAATGGAACTTTTGTAAATAGAGAGCTTGTAGGGAAAGGAAGACGCCTTCCTTTGAATAACAATTCTGAAATTGCACTTTCAGTGTGGAATAATAAAGGTAAATCATTATTTTTTGGTTATCGGATTTTTTCCTCCCATAAAGGAAAATTGAGCCCTGACCAGTGTGACTCATTTCATTGGGCATCATACCACAGAGCTAAGGGTTGCTGGTTCGATTCCAAGTCAGGGCACATGCCTCATTTGTGGGTTTGGTCCCCAGTGGGGTTGCGGATGAGAGGCAACTGATCAATGTTTCTCACATTGATGTTTCTCTTCCTCCCTTCCCCTTTCTCTATTTGGGAAAAAAGGTAAATTGATACTGTGTTCTTTGTGGAATAGGAGGGAGAACCTCCTCAAAACTCAGAATTACCTTCTGGAGAGCAGGCCCCTTGTAATATACACGTCCCCTGCTAGGTGAGTGTTCTATGAGTTCCATCTGTATCAATGTACTAGGTGGCATTGTTGTGAGAGGCTGCATTTGTTTTCAGTGAATTTTTTCTGGAAACTCAACACATTTGCCATTTCATGGTGGGTGATTGACAAGCACACCTTCCCACACCACTCTGAGTGTTCAGCAGTTCTTGACCAAAAACAACATGACCCCGGTGCCCCACCCTCCCTATCCCCTGGGTCTTGCCCTGCCCTGAACAACTTTTTATTGTTTCCCTGGATGAAAAAATGTCCTCAAAGGGGAATGTTTTGCTGATATGGAAGAGGTGAAACAAAAATGGCAGAAGCACTAAAAAGCATCAAAATCAAGTTCAAAAACTGTTTTGAGCAGTGCAAAAAACGTTGAGATAGGTGTGTTGCATCAAATGGAGAGTACTTTGGAGGTGGCTGAAGTTTAAACATTTAAGAATTAATACACAATTTAAAAAAAGATTTTATTTTTAGAGAGAGTGGAAGTGAGGGAGAAAGAGGGAGAGATACACTAATGTGCAAGAGTTACATTGATTGGTAGCCTCTCACATGCCCCCAACTGGAGACCTGGCCCGCAATCCAGGCATGTGCCCTGACTGGGAATCAAACTGGCAACCCTTTGGTTTGCTGTTTGGCACTCAGCCACACCAGCTAGAGGTAAATACACAATTTTTTATAAATTACGGGGTTTTTTAGGGTCCACCCTCAAGTCGTTTAGATAAGCAAATAGGTTAGCATTCAAATTGTACTCAGTTCTACTTGCATTTTTAAGTTATGAAAAAGTTCTATCAAGACAGGTTTGCTAAGGTTTAATTGGTTTGATTAATTTTACTTAAAGCCATATGCTGTCGATTGAATTAGCATATTGCTGAAGATAGTTCATAATTCATTGATGCATTTTATGTCACATCATTCTTAGATGTGAGTTGTTTTAGGCCATTAATTCGTCTCCCTCATTCCCTTCATTCATTCCATTCATTCATTTTTACATATATTTATTGAACTCCTATTTATACACCAGGCTTTAGGCTATGGATTTTTTTTCTTTTGGTAAGAATCTCAGTTTAGATCTCTCACCTTCTTAAATACCACTTGTTTATCCACTGAAAGTAGAGGTGTTTATCATCCTCATCAGGTAGCATTTTGTAAGTGTCTGCTCCTAAAACGTCAGGAATATCACATTCCAACCAAATAATGGTCATTCAGCTCAGAAAGAATAATTGACAAAAATAAGCTACAGAGTTAAACATAGCTCACAGTGAATTTAAATCCTTGAACAATAGAAATAGTTTCGCTTCTTCAATAAAAACAAAAAACCCATAGAACTTCCTAAAACTATCTAAGAGTTGAGTGACTTGGTAGCATAATGTGTGTGTGGGGGTTAAACACCTTGAAAATGTAGATTCCCATAGGCACTGTTCCACATAATCTGATTCAGTTATTCCAGGGATTTAAAAAATCCTGCCCAGGTGATTCTCATGCAGTCGGTCTCCAGACTGGCATCTGAGAACTATGGCTATTTTGTGCATCCTAAAATGCATTTTATGGTTGACTTAGTTTCTCCTGTTTCTGACTATTGTGTTTACTATCCGATAGTGTCAGGACAGCTACAAAGAATTTTGCTGTTTTGAGAGGGACAACTGGGCACTGAAATTTAACCTTTCACCACTAGGGATACTGTGTGCTGCCTTTTTCACTTGGTCTGTCCTTTGCCTTTTGTAATTTGAACAAAGGTGTTATGTAGGCTAAAGGTTACCCTGACTGAAATAGACCAAACTGGTACTCTGCAGGCTGCTGATCCCTCTTGACATTTTAATTGGTTTTTGCTGGTATTTATACCTTTAACATGAAATTCTAGGTTTCTTTGAAAAGGTGGAATATCTGGCCACACTGAGCCTAATCCCACACTGCATAGAGGCTGCCTCTTTTGAATGAATGATGTATTTTCATATTCAAGTCCCCACTGCTCCCTGTTGACATAAATACTTAACCCAGCCTGATCTCTGTGACCTTCCTGGCTTGTGTGGGCAACTGAGTTTGCAGCCCCCAAAGCAGACCTGGACTTTTGTGAGAAATACATCTCCATAGCCCCTCTAATTCCCAGATCCTCAGATGCCACCAGGACATCTAGGTTCATAAACATCCACAAGCACAGAACAGTTATATCCTGGGTAGTCAGCAGGACCAATTCACTAAGCAAGTGTCTGCCTCATGTGGATTAGCCTGGAATGAAGCATACTGAGGTGGCTCAGATCTGTGCCTGAGACAGGGTCTCTAGGTGACTCCTAGGATGTGAAAACCTATCACCTGATATCGAGGTACGCAAGGGTCTTAACAAACTTCATCCTTTCTAGATACTATAGGCTGTTGTAAATTTTATCATTGGTAACTTAGTAAAATTGGAATGTTTGATAACTGATTATAGGATTGGCCCACATGGATGGCTAAATTATTAAATGAATAAGGTGGGTTTTTTTTTTAAAGAGTTTATTTATTTTTATGAGAGAGGGGAAGGGAGGGAGAAAGGGAAACACTGATGACAGAAACATCAATTGGCTGCCTCTCATACATGCCTTGACGGGGATGGAACCTGCAACACAGGTGTGTGCCCTGACTGAGAATCAAACTAGTGACCTTTTATTTTGCAGGATGATGCCCAACCAACTGAGCCACACCGGTCAGGGCTAGTAGGGTGGCTTTTTTGTTGTTTTCTTTTTCTGAGATACAGCATGAATAATGGGGAAATAAGAGGGAATTTTTGGGAAAGTGCTATTTATTTAACTTTACAAGTAGGTTCAAAATGGTTTGCACCATAAAATAACAATATGTAAATGTATACATGGCTAGAAAAAGATATTTCTAGTGAGATAATCTATGGCCTAATTTTTATTGGGATGTTTATTTACTTGCCTAGAATAGATTTTTCTAGGCTCAAAGTAATTGTATTTAGGTTCTGGTCTTTTGTAATCTGCACAGGTATTTTATATTAGTGCAATTGATTAATCTGAGGTCACAGAATAAGGTTAGTATTTATGTATGGATATTGTGCACTGTAATGAGAATGATGCTGCGCATTTCCATTGAAGACTGACTTTTGTCTTTATTTTCTATAGGTTTTATGATATGTTTTAGCCTAGCTAAATAATTTCTTTTAGGTTAGATATTAAATGTAATTAAAACAATTGTCTTATATTTCATATGTTAACTAAAGTTTAGGACTATTCATCTTCTCTTTATCTAATGAATTTATTAAATGTATTTCTGGTATTTTTTTCCTTTAGTTTTTGTATTTTTCGATCTGACTGTAGATGACCAATCAGTTTATCCCAAGGAATTAAGAGACAAATATATCATGTCAAAAACTCTTGGAAGGTAAGTTTTTTTTTTTCTTATGGAAATTGTACTTAATTTTTTTTCCTATACATTTATCATTGTTTAGTTTTTTGCTCCCGGTTTTATAACATTCATTATCTATTCATAACTAATTTGTAGGTCACTGATTTGTTGTAGGTGTGTTGTTGATTTATTTAATAATGATCGATTGAAATGTATAGTTGTTCCTTATAAATTTTATCTGTACTAATTTTTTAAAGCAGTTTTAGTGAGATATAATTCACATATCATACAGTTCATACATTTAAAGTAAAATTCATTGATTTTTTAATCTTCCAAAAAGAAGTGTTTACTGCATTTTTGCCCTACTTGGAATTTGTGACATCTTGGGAAGGGAAGTGAAACTGACCATTGAATAGGGCGAAGTTCTCAAAATATTTGGTCTTAGGACCCCTTACAGTATTAAAAATTACTGAGGACCCCAAAGAGCTTTTTTGTTTATGTGTCTTAAGTATATTGGTATTCGCTGTATTAGAAATTAAAATGGAGACATGTTAATATTAATTCGTTAAAAATAAACTCACTTATGTTAAGATAAATAACATTTTTTAATGAAAAATAATTACTTTGAAAAAGATTGAGAAGGGCATTGCATTACACTTAGCAAACCTTTTTGCCATCTAGCTTAGTGCTAGATAGGTAGATCCTGATAATTATTTCTTTTTAAAAAAATTATATTTTGATGATGCTATTAGAGTTGTCCTGACTTTTCTCCCATTGCGCCCCTCCACCCAGCACTCCCTGTCCCCCCGACAATCCCCACATCATTGTTCCTGTCCAAGGGTCATGCGTGTAAGTTCTTTGGCTACTCCATTTCCTATCCTGTACTTTACATCCCCATGGCTATTCTGTGACTATCTATTCATACTTCTTTCCTAATTCCCTCACCTCTTCATCTATTCCCCCGTAATCCTCTCCCATCAGGCAACCATCAAACGTTCTCTGTGTCCGTGAATCTTTCTCTGAGTAGGTGAATCTGTATGTGGATTCTTTAGAGGAACTGCTTGGGGCTACAACAATTCTTCCACCGACTCAATACCCACTGGTTTTTGCAGCCAGAAGTTGTGGGGACTTATCTTCCTGGCTCTGGAACCCTAGGCCTGGGGGCCTGGTGTGGGGCTGGGTGTCCTCGATCCCGAGATACTCCTCTTGAATTTTTATCAGCCACACTGAGGGACCAGCCTGTTCTGCATCTGCGTCGCTCTTACCAGTCTGGATGGATGTGGTTTCTTTAATTCCGTAGTTGTCAGATTTCCATTCATCTCAATTTCTGATGGTTCTGAGCGATGGTTGTTCTACATTTTAGTTGTAATTTTGATATGGTTATGCAAATAGGTGAGCCATAATCTGCCTATGCTGCCATCTTGACCAGAAGTTTGATATTTACTTCTTTATTTGGTTTGTTTTGATATCATATGCCATGTAGCCTCTGGAAAACTCTGTATAGTTATGAGAGAGTGAAAATGAAAAAGACAAGTAATGTCTTAGTATTATTCTGAAAATAATTTTGAACTTTGTGGTCACCTAGAAAGGGTCTTGGGGGTCCTTTAGGGGTTGCCTGACCATACTTCGAGAACCACTTTTTTAGGGAAGGTATGCAGGACACCATTACCACATTTCACAATGGCTTTCATCCTACCATTCCTTCCCTGCCCCCAGAGACCTTTCTAACCTGTTGATATTTTTAGTAACATGGAAATAGAAAATAATAGAAGGAAATAATCTTCCACATTCTGCCACATAGAATCAAGCACAGTGCATTCTTTATGACCATTTATAGGAAATATTTTAGTTTATGGACATTCATATGGAATTTAGTAACTCATTGTGTTTTCATATCTGCTTTGGCTGCTTGGAAGCTCATAGCCAAATTTGTGCCTGCCCTTAAGAAATAATATGGGAGTCTTATTTTCTCTATGGGAAGATTCAATACAAATCCTTTACCTTGTAGCAGGTGACAGAAACTTAAATGAGTCAGTTAAGAAATTTATTGGCTCTTGTAACTGGAGGATACAGGGGGACATCTGACTTCAGGCATGGCCGGACCTGAAGGCCTTTGAGCTTTATTTCACTCTTGAATTCTCATCACCTGTTTGGCTTAGTGGCTGGATATGAAGGCTCCCACAGTGTTGTCATGGCTCTGGCTCCATCTCTTGATTCAACAACAATGTGTTGCCTTCATATAGAATTGTCTCTGTGGCAGGAAAAACATCTTTCAGGAGTTCAATATTCATGTTTTTTTAATTTCTTCCAGAAACCATAGCTGAGAGAATTGTTTCTCTCCCAACATCAGCGTTTGATTCCAGGGAAAACCCTGAGCAACTGAATTTTACATGTCTACCCCATCGTTCTAGTAGTGAGTGTTGTACTATTGCAGACTATTCCACTGGACTCAGGGAAGATTTCTCAGGCAAAAGGCGATGCTTATCAGCAGAAGGGGAATTGGAAAATGTTTTGAGCATTTAAAATAATAATACTTACATGGACTATTCTCACATAGGGACAACTCTTTGAGACCTTTGTTTTGACAGTGGTTACTTAAATGTAGCACCAAAAGCACAAGCAATAACAGAAAAAAGAGGTATATTAGACTCCATCAAATAAAAAACTTGTTGTGCATCAAAAAACATTGTCATGAGAGTGAAACACAACTCACAGAATGAGAGAAAACGTTTACAAATCATATATCATAAAGATTTTGTAACTCAAAACAAGAGAACCCAATTAAAAAGTGGGTAATGGATTTAAATAGGTATGTCTCCAATGAAGATATACAAATGAGCAAAAACCACATGAGAAGATGTTTAGCATCATTAATCATTAGGGAAATGCAGACCAAAACCACAGTGAGCTACCACTTCACGCCCACTAAGATGGCCGTAGTAAAGAAATGGAAAATAGTAAGTGTTTGTGAGGATGGGGTGAAATTGGAGCCCCCGTACACTGCTGGTGGGAATGTAAAATTGTGCAGCCACTGGGGGAAATAATTTGGTGGTTTCTCAAAATGTTAAACATAGAATTACCATGTGACCCTGCAGTTCCCTTTGTAGGTACGTACCCCTTCAATTGAAAACAGGTGCTCAAGCAAAAACATGCATGAATGTCATTGCAGCTGTCTTCACAATAGCCAAAATGTGGAAACAACCGAAGTGTCCATCAACAGTTGAATGTATAAACAAATGTGATATATCCGTACAATGAAATATTATTTAGTTACAAAAAGGAAAAAAATACTGATACATATGCTACAGCGTGGACGAATCTTGAAAACATGCTAGACGAAAGAAAGTCAGACACCAGAAAGCTACAATATTGTATGATTTTATTATTAAAGAGATATTCAGAATAGGCAAATTTATAGACAAAAAGCAGATCATTGGTTGCCAGGGACAGAGGGCAGGGTAGAATGAGAGTGAATACCTAGTGTGTATAGGTTTCCACTTGGGCTGATCAAAATGTTCTGGAACTGGGTACGGGTGGTGGTTGTACATTACAGATGTACTCAATGCCACTGAATTGTACACTTTAAAATGGTTACAATATTAAATTTTTTGTTAGGTACAATATATGCACAATATAGTACACAATAAAAAAGATATCTTGGCAAACCCTTCATGCCATCCCAAAACCCATAGTAGTTATAGTGGTCTACTTCAAGCAGGTAATGATTGATTGGTATTCAAGTAGGTGTGACCTTGGGCTGACCCAAGCTTTGGAGAACAGCACCTACGTAGGATTAACTATGTACTGGTTGACATCCTAGGTTTGCATTCCTCTGTTATAGTACCCCAATTAATTGTAAATCTTTGAGAGCTCGCTGCAAGCAGGTTAATTGTGTAAAACTTTTGGTTTCTTAGGTATTGTTAAGTTTATTTAGGGTACTGTTCATGGCATCAACTGCTTATGCACTTCTTTGAAGGCAAAATAAGACAAAGGCATCAATGGAAGTAATTAATTTGCAGAGATTGTTTGCTATAACTTGTCTCAGGCACTGGTTTTTGACTGGGACTTTGTTTTATTTGATGTTTGTTTCTCCGATCTCTGGGATAAGGCATTTCTCCTATTTGTCCCTAGTGTCTTTATGAGAAGTTTACCACCTGGGTGACAGACAGTAAGACTAGTCTGTATCAGCTCAAAAAGTGGGATTTGTAGCTATCCTGGTGGTGTTGGGTGGTCCACATTCACTTATGCCCTTGACATGTTATGTTGGTGGGGTTTTACCATGTTTTATAAACAGGAACAATGGAAGGATTGTATATGGACTGCCTGTGTATGTGTGTGAGAGAGAGAGAGAGAGAGAGAGAGAGAGAGAGAGAGAGAGAGATCCTTGCTCAGGAGCCATGCTAATCTCTGTATTGTTCCAGTTTTTTAGTATATGTGCTGCCGAAGCAAGTACTGGACCACCCTTAACTTACAATAGCCGAGGCCAGCTCAGGAGTGGTGAGTCTCCTGATTAAAAACATTCTGACAATCACTTTCTATGTTTTTCCCTGTAGTGGGGCCTGTGGTGAAGTGAAGCTAGCTTTTGAGAGGAAAACATGTAAGAAAGTAGCCATAAAGGCCATCAGCAAAAGGAAGTTTGCTATTGGCTCCGAGAAAGAGGCAGTAAGTACCTGTATTTGGCGGCTCAGCTGTTCTTAACACTTCTTAATTTCCAAGAATGATTTTGGAGTGTTTATTTTCAATGTCAGGATGCATTTACTGCTCAGATATGTGAATTGATATCAAAGAACATTGAACATTTTTGAGTGTATTCAAGTAATCTAGAAACTTATAAATAATTTGGATCCAAAAAAATATTTGGTTGCACTTAATAAGGCGCTGTAGCAGGAAGTTGTTTTTTTTTCTCTTCTACGTTGTCACAAGACTGTTTTTACAATAAATGAAAGGAAATTAGGGGGAAAAAATCCAGCCATACCCCCACCACTGTAACCCCACAGCTGTTTTCAGTTTTCTTTTTCCTTTCTAGTCTTTGTTCATATGAATTTGTTTTTAGATGGTTGAAATCACATTGTATATACAGTTTTGTATTCTGCTTTTCCATACAAACATTAGTGCATAAACTTTTCCCTAATATATCCTTTTTGATGGTCAAGTCTCTATTTCATCAACTTCATAATAGTGTACTTAACCATTTCTCTGGTTGATCATTTAGATAATTTCTGATTCTTTGCTCTTCCCAGTAATGTGGCAATGAATAGCTTAGTGTTTATAGATTTTTAAAATCTTAATTAAATTACTTTAATAGTCTCTTTATATACTAGCCATTCATTTTATTGCATTTTATGTAATACACTTTTACCGTGTGAATGAAATGGCCAAGTGTTTTAGTCTTTCAACGCATGACTCAATGAAGTGATGTAAAATGTGACCTGTAATCACGTTTTCCTTTGTGGCCAGCTGTTTCTGGCTATTATACTTGAACATTCCTTGAAGATGAAATTTTTTTTTCCTTAAGACAATGCCATACTCACATGGCAAGAGGAATTTCCTTTCTGTGTTCACTTTGTTATAGATCTTTTCCCCTGTGATTCTGGATTTGTTTCCCATTTGGAGGAGGAAGAAAATGCCTACCAGATTCTTAATGACCTGCAGCAAAATTTTAGTTCTTAATTTCATCTTTCAAATCATTTTGAACTCTTTTAGACCTCTCTATTATCAGAGCACAGCCTGACTTAGTAATGAGTTTAACGGCTTACAGGAAGAGGCAGGCTTTTAAAATTAAACATCTGGGTTTCTTAGCTGAAGTCCATTTTACATAAATATGTAATTCTATATCCCCTGTGCTTGTGGAGGGTGTAGCCCATGAGGTTGAGTAACTTGATTCATCCTTTTGGAACTGTAATGGAGAACAACTTCAGTACCCTGAAGCTTCCTCTAGTTAAGAATCTCAATAAATATGTCAGCCTGCAGTTGAAATTGAAACCAGTGTCTGCTCTATTATTAGATATTTGACTTGACAGTTTCTTAATATAGTTTAATTAAATAACCTTTTTGTCTGTGGTTTTGTTAGTTTTATCATTTTTATGACCGCAAACAATCCCATAGCTAATGAGACAAGCAGAACTTACCGGGTAAGCATGAGAACAGTGGAAACACTTGTTTCTGGCAATGGGAACTGGAGCAAGTGGCTTCCTTTCTCTGAGCCTCAGTCGCTCCATCTGTACAATGGGGGTTATTATGGAACCCAGCTCACTTGGGAATTATGAGGCTTATATGAGATGATATTTTTAAATAAACACCTTGGCCATTTATTGAATGTTTCCTATTTCCCAAGCACTTTACACAGTGATTTTAGGTGAGTTGTTTAAATCATTATCCTGCAGACCTGGATTTCTCTGTGAGTAGAGCTGGGTTTGGAACTCAGGCAGCCATTACTCAGCTAAGTTTAACTGTAAATATTTTCTAAATATTGGCTATTGTTATTATTAATAAACTCTAATGTTATTTTATTTATCAAAGGATCCGGCTCTCAATGTTAAAACAGAAATTGAAATTTTGAAAAAATTAAATCATGTAAGTATTGCTGCAAAATACAGCTCATACTTAAAATCATTTATCTCACAATACAGGAGGAGTACAAAGCATTTAGATGTAATAAAGCAGTATTAACCTGGGTTCTGTAATTGTGTGTGTATATGTGTATACATGTGCATATGGGTGTTTATTGTCATTTAGCTGGAAAGAGCTTTACCTTGAACTTTTTTTTAAAAAAGATTTTATTGATATTTTAGACAGAGGGGAAGGGAGGGAGAGAGTGGGGGAGAGAAATAGCAATGTGAGAGAGAAACATCCATCAGTTGTCTCGCATACTTGCCCTGACTGGGGACTGAACCTGCAACCCAGACATGTGCCCTGATAGGGAACCGAATTGTGACCTTTCACTTTGCAGGACAGTGCCCAACCAGCTGTGCTACACTGGTCAGGGCTACCCCGAACTTTTGAAAGGACAATACTGTGTAAAGATTTTATGATTAAATACTGATGTGATATTTACACTGACTTAGTTCTTGAACAGAAGACATAGTAAATATCCTAAGTTTTATATTGTATGGGGACTTCATCAACTGATTATGTTTGGAGGGGCAATGCTAATTTGGTAAATTTGGTTCGATTATACCTGAAGTTCTAGAACTTCTAAATACCTTTTCATGGTGCTGTTTTCCATTTACCTCAGTTGGAGTAAATCATGTAAGTTCAAGTGTATTCAAATATGTATGACAACAACCTGTCCTTAAATCTGAATAAATGGAGTCAGTGTTAATAGATCCTATCTTTCTTGTGCACTGATGACCTTGTTACAATGGAAAGTTAAAGATGTGAGAAGAGAGCCCTGGCTGGTGTGGCTCAGTGGCTTGAGTGCGAGCCTCTGAAACAAAGGATCACCGGTTCGATTCTCAGTCAGGGCACAGGCCTGGGTTGCAGGCCAGGTCCCCAGTAGGGGGCGCATGTGAGGCAACCACACATTGGTGTTTCTCTCCCTCCTCTTTCTCTAAAAATAAATAAATTAAGTCTTTAAAAAAAGATGTGAGAAGAGAAAGTTAGAGGTATGGGACTGACTCCATCTTCCTTTGTATTGTTCTTTCCATTTCTTCATTAATTCATGAGCCTCCATGAAGTCATGAGCAAGGTGGACACTGAAGTTAAACTTGAAACAAGACCTCCAGTCTGTCCAGCTAAGGATGATCTTATTTTGGTTCTTAATATCCAGACAACAAAAAGATTTCTTCTCCCTTCCCTCACCTTCTCAGATCCCCCAACAAATAGAAACTAAGAACAAAATCACTGCCATCGACACAACAGTTCAACTCATGGGTGGATCAGAAAACCCATGAGAACCCAAGGGGCTGGCCCTCCTGCTTGGCTTCCTTCTAATTCCCTTGCAACTTCTTTCTCTTCTGTGAACTCCCCTTTCCCAAGGCACTGGGAATCTCTTGTTAAAGAGAGACGGCCTCTAATTTGGGGAGTGGGGTTGCCTCAAGTATAACCCCTAAGATAAATACTTTGAATGCCCAGAGAATTTTCTGTGATATCAGAGTGTCTCCAAACATAACATTTATATAAACCCACTGTCCACTGCAGTTGAGAGGAATTTAGAACCATGAAAAAGGTCCTTGTAGATATTACTTGGCAATGTACAAGGGCATGAGGAAGTCCTTGGGAATTTAATATGGGCTCATGAGTTCATTTGGGGAACAATGGATAGAGCCTGGCCTTTGGAGCCAGGCACTGATTCAATCAACTGTCGAACATATTGTGTCAGGCTCTCTTCTAGTGATGAACACACATGGACTCAGCCATCCTTCCTATCATGTGGCCTCAGTCTGGTGGAGAGACAGACCTGGGTCCCCATCCCATCTCTACCACCTGGCTCTGAGAAGGCCATTTCACTTTTCAGAGTAATGGGCAAAATAAGGATACTTAATCTTGAACGTCCTTGTGAGCATTAAAGGAGATGTGCTTGTCAAGCTTTTAGCACAGAGGACACACTTGGGGAATGATAGAGATCTGTAATTCCTTAAACTTTTCCCTTTATCACCTAAGTGGAGGATCTAGGTTAGTAGTAGCCTGTGGTTCCTGAGATATACTTCCAGCTATGATAGCTCTAGCCAGTGACCCTGGAGACTGTTTTATGCCTTATTAGCTCCCAGCTACACGCATTCCCAGGTGGGCACTGCTGGTTATGAAGCCAAACAGAACCAAGAAAGTTGACTCAGCCTATGCAGTGCTTGGGGAAAGGAGACCTGTCTGTGCTTGGTGTTAGTTTCCTTTCTCTTCCCTCCTGAGGCTCACAGCCTGGGTGGGGTCGGGGGGTGGGTGGGAGACAGATTCTAACAATGCAGGGCGAGGCGGCACAGGTTCAGACCACTGGTGGATGTTTGGATGCATTGTGAGGGGGCCATTTTAGCTGGGGCCTGATGCCTGAGGCCAAGTGTGCCTAGAGGGCTGGATTACCAGGCAGGAGAGTTGCAAAAGCCAAGGTCTGACACTGGAAAAGAGCACAGGGAATCGGGGTGACTGGGGAGTTTTGTGGCCTGGAGAGGAGGCTGCGTGGGACCTGGAGCAGGAGATGATGCTGGGTCATGAAGGCCATGCTAATAACCCCTGTGAGAAGTTGGATTTTAGCTTCTAGGCAGCACAGAGCAAAAGGTTTCCTTGTCTTCCTTCTTTTCTGCCTTGCCACTTCTTCCTTTCCTCCCTCTGGATGCTCTCCTCCCTTCCTTTCTTTAAATGTTTTAAAGTTATATAATATTTGACACATGTAAAGTAATACATGTAAATTATAAAGTACACCAGTAAGATGAACACCTTTGAACTGGCCATTCACCTTAAGAATGAAAACTTGACCAGACAATTGAAGCATTTCATACTCTTTGAAGTCTCTCATGACTTGCCTTTTCCACTTGGTGTTATGTTTCCGTAATCCACCACGCCGGGAGAAGCGGGGAAGGAGCATTCATTCACTGCTATGTAACAGTTCACCATGGGAAGGTACAACTTGGGGGGTTTAATTGGAGCGATGGATGTGGTGAAATTTGCTTTGTAGAAGACCACTTTGACAAGTTTTGCTACTCTTTAATCTAAAATCCTTATAGCTTTCTTCCCATTAGTCCTGTTAAAATCACAATTGTCCTCCTGGCTGGGGCGTGGGGGCGTGTCCCTCATAGATACCACATCTTTTACTTATCTTAACCACTGAGCTCTACTGTCCAGCTTTTTTTTCTCTAGAAACAAAAGGTTTGCCTTCTGAGCATAAAATCACATTATTAAACATGCATTTTAAACTACACAGCACTGTTCTTTAATGTTACGTGCATCCTGCATTGATCAGAGTCAAACTCTCAGCCATCAGTGCATGTCTCCCTCACCCCACAGATGTGCTTTTGCGTTCTTAGGAACCTGGAATGTCCCTCTTCCCTTGAAAAATGGGAGGATCTTGTCACACAGGGATCCCATTCCCCTGTGGTTCTGTTACGCAGAGCTGAGTAACCTGTCTGTCAGCGTGGCTGGGCAGCCACTTGGCCTGCTTTCCATTCATGCTACCGGTCAGGCTCCTCTAGGTTATGAGATGTCCTTGGCACTTCTGCTCCGGGGCAGTGAGGAGGAGGGCTGGGAGGAAACCAGCCTTCTTTCCTTGGTGGCATCCTTACGTGTGCAATATGAACCAGCCCCTCGCCAGCTTGGTGGGGTGGCAAGTTTCTTGTACGTTCTCACTGAGGAGCCACATTAATTGCTCTGCCTTCTTCCTCACGTGACCTTGACAGTGTCCCAACAGGGGGCCAAATGCCTGGTCTTGGCCTCCCTGACTCCGTGGGCAAATGCTGTGAGTTCTGCTCTTAGTGTTTTCCTCTTGGGAGCTTCTCACTAGTTTTCCTCTTTTTCTTTTAGCCTTGTATCATCAAGATTAAAGACTTTTTTGATGCCGATGATTTTTATATTGTTTTGGAATTGTAAGTAGTAAGCTTTTTTTTTTTTTAAAAAAATTGTTTCCATTTAAATGCTTATTTAAAAACTGAGGCTGGCTTGCATTTCTACTTCTGGAGCCGCTCAGCAGATGAGTGTGATGATGGGGCCCACAAAGCGTGTAAGGGGCTTAGTGTCGCCTCTGAAACCCCTCCAGTGTTTTCAAAGGCAGGTGGCTTAGAGGTTCCAGGCGCTGGGGCGGAGGCCTGGGTTTTAATCCCACCCTGCAGGTGACTAGCTGTCTGCCCACAGTTAGTTGACTTTACTTCTCAGTCTCATTTTCTTGGTGTTAAATCAGATAATAATGATACCTCATTCACAGGGTTGTAAGGATGAAATGCTATAAGCCCCCAGCAGAGCACCTGACACACATAGGTACTCAGTCACCGGGGGATATTATTACTGTGAAATACCTGCCCTGGTGGACTTACTGCTCAGGATCACAGTACCAGGCTGCATGGCCACACCTCAGCATCTGGAAGGTGCTGGTTTGTTTCAGTGGCTATAGAGTCCTGTTTAATTTGGTGTGACCAAAATTTTCTGTCGAGTTCCTGGAAGAGGCCTGTCTGATGTCCCTTCCTGCATAAATGTGTAGTGTTTCTGGGAGCAGCTACTGTGGCAGACAGGCAAGACTTTGCTCCTGGGTGGCTCTGCAGGTGTCTGTAAGGAACAGTCCTGATCAGAGCATTAGAGAATGGACAGCCCTTGTTGTGCTTGAGGGAATATCTGCTGCTATTAAATAGAATGTTACCTGACTGGGTCTAGTTCAAACAGTTTAATAGTAATAAGACAATAACAACAACTGATACTAATTAAGCACTTAACATGAGCCAAGTACTGCTCTAAGCACTTTACATGGATTGAGCCATTTAACCTGCATAACAGTCTTCCAGGGTACTTACGCGTTGCTGGTGGGTTACTACTTTTAGTCCCTCTTTACAGTAAAGGAAACTGAAGTGCAGAGGGATTGAATAACCTTGCCAAGCACCTATACTGCGCCATTTACATCAGTTGTCTCTTAATTTTTACAACAGCCTCCAAAGTAGGCGGGATCATCCTTGTGTTTTTAAGAAACACAAGATCAGAGAGGTTATATAACCTGCCCAAAGTCCCCTGGCTGGGAAGTTGTAGAGTGGGGGTTTAGACCCTTGCTGCTTGCTGCTCCTCACCAGTCTCGGAATCCCCAGGTGTGTGTGATTAACATGCAAACTCCTGGGCCCTTCCTCTGATCCAGTGACTCAGATTTTCAATAGCTCCCCAAGTGTCTCCAATGCCCACCGCGCCCTCTTTGCATCTTTCCTTGGTTCTTAGTTTCTACTGGGGACATCTTCCTTGTGGACAAAGCTTAGTACTGCATTGCCTTTGCAATGGAAGTCAAGGGTGAATAAAAATGGCAACTCTTTGCTTGTCTTAATGAGTTTGTTTTGTTTGTGTTGTTATTGTCCACCTGAGTGAGTTTCCCTCCAGGCATGACTCCCTGCTTTGCCTGTGTGTTTCAGGATGGAAGGAGGCGAGCTGTTTGACAGGGTAGTGAGGAATAGACGCCTGAAAGAAGATACGTGCAAACTATATTTTTACCAGATGCTCCTGGCTGTGCAGGTAAGAGGCCCACACTGCTTACGATAGCCTACTTTATTGTAGGCAGAAAGGGAGGGACCATGGGTAAAACTTGGAGAACACAGTCTGTGTGTGTGTGTGTTATTCTGTTCTTGGCAACGACATCTCTCCCTTTGACTCAGATGAGAAAGCCCTTGCTGCGAAGCTTAAGACAGAGTAAGAAAAAGAGTTAAAGAAGTAAGCACATGGTCCCACTCTTCTCTTGAGCTTGGAGGTATTTCTGGAGGGGCATTGACCTCTACTTTCTTACCCTTTTCAAATCCCCCTTACCTCTCGGTGGGAGCAGAGCAGGTACAGAGACATGGCTGGCATGTTATTATGATGATTGTGACAGATCGCTTCCCTGTGGCCCAGCACTAGGTGTTCCCTTCATGTGCTGCATCCTGTTAATTGCGGCAGGCAGGCGGCAGGCGGCAGGCGGCAGGCATGTGCACTGCCTTTTCTTTATTCCATGGAAGTGTTGAGTGGAGGAGCAGCTGGTGGCATTCTGTCTACTTTGAAGAACATCACCCTTTCTCAAACCAGATTTGGTTGCGACAATTCTCAGCCAGGGTTTCTTCCCTTGAAAACCTACTCTGTGCATGAAATGTGGTGACTGGGACCAGCTCTTGCGCTGAATGAAGACTGAGGGAAATTTTCCTGGTGCTAGTGCACCTGGGCTTACCTTCCCTGGGGGCCTCGCCAGGTCCCAGTCCCAGGGCCAGGGTTTTAGAAGAATTTTTGTCCTAGGACAGAGGGATAGCCAGAGATAATTGAGGCCCATAGACACCTCACCAGTTCTTTTATGATTTATTTACTCCTTTGTATTACACCAAGAATATTAAGATGAAATGAGTGCAGATTAGTGCATGTGGGAAATTCTTTTCTTAATGAAATTTGACTTAGTGTATAAAAATGAACATACAAAGAAACATCAACATACTACAGAAGGTCCCCAACTTATGGTTTGACTTACGGTGAGTTCGTTAACTCTGGGTATTTAAAGATAATTTACAATATGTACTTTACAGATTCCCTTTAAAATATTGTTCTCAGGGTTAGAATAACCAAATGCATCATTTTGGTGGAATTTTTATTATCTACTTTATAACATGGTCTTCAAAATATTTTATATCACCTATTTATATTTTTATTATTGAAATTGACACCTTGCTCTGGCTGGTGTGGCTCAGTGGATTGAGCACTGGCTTGTGGGCTGAAAGGTCGCTGGTTCTATTCCAGGTCAGGGCACATGCCTAGGTTGTAGGCCAGGTTGCTAGTTGGGATCGTGTGAGAGGCTAATCTTGTTTCCCTTGCACATGTTTCTCTCCCTCACTTTCTCACTCCTTTCCTCTCTCTTTAAAAAAAAAAAAACAACAAACAACAACATAAATACGTAAAATCTTAAGAAAAAAAAGAAATTGACACCGTACATTTCTGCCAACCTGAAGGGGCAATTACTATCTTGAAAAGTGAAATAAAATGTGCACTTATGGTCATAAGTTGTATTTTCATTTTTGTACTTTTTAAAGATTTTCTTGAAAACAAATTTGTAGACACTAACCCCTTTGCCCAGTAGTTTCCTATGATTTGGAGGAATATATTCATATTTGTCAGTAACGTGATTTACAGTTCTAACCAGATGTAAGATGTGTGTGTGTGTTGTCTCTTCTCACATGCGTACTCCATAAATTTAAGGGTCATCCCTCACTTTCTGTGTAGTATCTTCATGAAAATGGCATTATTCATCGTGATTTGAAGCCAGAGAATGTTCTGCTCTCATCTCAAAAAGAGGATTGTCTTATAAAGGTAAGAAATTTATGTTCTGTATATGGCTATTCCAGTAGATTTCTGTACAGACACTTTTTTAATTCATCAGGTTAAAAAGTAGGAGCATAAAAAGGTTGAGAATTTGATCTTTTTTACTTTCAGCAATTATTCTTACAGATCAGGTGCTATTGCTTCAGTCCAGATTCTAAGGAGCATTTGTTGGGCTCCACTGTGTACAAGCCACTTTTATGTTCAGAGGGAGGGAGGGGAGTGTAAATGGAGGAGTGAATTACATCCCAGCTTCTCCTTTCCTCTGAGACTGTGCTTCCCAAACTTGGCTTCACTTTAGAATCTTCTATTGATTAAAAACATAACAAGAACTAGCCCTGGCTGGTGTGGCTCAGTGGATTGAGAGCCTGTCTATGAACCCAAGTGTCACCAGTTTGATTCCCAGTCAGGGCATGTGCCTGGGTTGTGGACCAGGTTGCCGGTAGGGGATGTGCGAGAGGCAACCAATCAATATTTCTCTTGCACACGGATGTTTCCCTCTCTTTCTCCCTCCCTTCCCCCTCTCTAAGAATAAGGAAATAAAATCTTAAGATCTTCCTTATTAAAAAAAATTAAATAACGTGCGAAGCTCAGAATTGCCTTAAAGTAGACCTGAATTTGTAGATTCAAGATTAACAGCAGACATGAACTGTGGGATAGAAGCTGATCTAATTTGCGTGTCTTTTGGGACTGGCAGACTATATTAATATTTTTATTTTATGCTATCATTAAAAACGATTCCTTTTTAATTTTAGATTACTGATTTTGGGCAGTCCAAGATTTTGGGGGAGACCTCTCTCATGAAAACTTTATGTGGTACCCCTACTTACTTGGCTCCTGAGGTTCTTAATTCCTTTGGGACTGCTGGATATAATCATGCTGTGGACTGCTGGAGTTTAGGAGTTATTCTTTTTATTTGGTAAGACAAGTTTTCATTGCCTCAGAGTCTGGTTGAAGTCAATTAAGCGAAATCAAAAATATGTCCAGGGAGAGGGCTTGTGTTTAATTTAGGTCACTTTTTTTGACCACTGATTTATAGAAAAAATAATTTTTCATTATGCTAAAAAAGAAAAAAAGAAATCTGTATATCTGAATGCCACTGAGAATGCCACTTGATTTCTTTTCCTTTCTCTCTCTACCAATATTAAGCCTTAGTGGGTATCCACCTTTCTCTGAGCATAAGACTCAAGTGTCACTGAAGGATCAGATCTCCAGTGGAAAATACAACTTCATTCCCGAAGTCTGGGCTGTGGTCTCAGAGAAGGGTATGGATACGAAAGGGTTAAAGAATTTATGGTTTGCTGAATTGTGTGTGCTGTGGTGGGAGAGTTTTTTTTGTTTTGTTTTTTGTTTTTCAAATTCCGTGATGTTTTTCTCCTGTCAATTCTGATCTTATTTCCTGTTGTTTTGCACCATTTGAGAGGCAAAGGAAAGTACTAAGAGCACAGGCTCCGGAGCCAGGCCGATCTAGACTCAAGCCCTGGGTCTGCTACTCCTGGCTATGTGACTTAGGCAAGTTGCTTAAATTCTGAGTCTCCCTTCTCTTTATTTGTAAAGGAGACACAATAAACCCATACTTTAAAGGGTTTTTGTAGGGGTTAAGTGTAACATACCTAAGTGCCTGCTTCCTATTTAAGTGTGCAAAATAATAAGTAACTTTTTAGTTATAAGGTTTCTTTTCAGTAAATAAGCATGTGAGCTAAATGTAATTAGTTACTTTGTGTTTAAGAACTTAAATGTGTAACTTTGTAATTCTCAAAAGAGAAAAATAGAAAGTTAAAAGGAAATGACAATTAATGTAACAGATGATTGTATAACCTGTGGGTGGCTGAGGAACAACATTGTTGCAATATACAAGCCAGCCTGCACTTGGTGCTGGCCATCAAGCTTTCAAATGTCTGCCAAGCCTGAAGTTCCAGGAGCCTCTCACTGCCTGAGGAGCTCTCCCCATCAGTCTGCGGGTCTTAGGGAGTGTTGACTCTGCATCCTGAGTGTCGTAGAACTGGGTGGAAGTTCAACTTTAATTTGTTTGAACTTGCTTCCCGCAATGAGAGAAGGAACAGAGAGCTAAGAGGTTATGATGTCTGAGCAGGGAGAGATGGTATTCTCAGAGCACTCTGATGAATACGGAGAGTGAGGGATATTAGGGGGCCCTGCCCACCATACCTGCTGATTCCTGTATGACCTCAGCCCCTTTCTCTTCTTTCTGGATGTTGGCCTGTGATTCTGGCATATTTTAATTTTGCTGATTGAATGTATTTACCCTTCTCACTGTGATTTACCAAATTATCTTTTTGCTTTAGCTCTGGACCTTGTTAAGAAGTTGTTGATTGTGGACCCAAAGACACGTTTCACAACAGAAGAAGCTTTAAAACACCCGTGGCTTCAGGTGGGTATGGGGCAATACGTTGTAGCATAACACACAGGGGAAGCACTGAACTGTGTCTGAGAGATGAGGAAGAGGATGGAAGCATGTTTGCTTTTTGGGGCTGTTTTAGATTGAGCGTTAGGTATGTGGGGTGTGTATATATACGTGTGTAGAGGGTAGGGTTGGGGGAGGTCTTTGTGTGGTGTTTGGGTGCAGCCTTTTTAAACTTAATTCATGGCTCTTGGATGGACAAGCTGACTTCGTGGTCTGTTTTGGTTCTACTTGGCTTCCCTGGGTCTGTAGTTTGGCTGTATTCCTTTGAGAGGCTGCTCTAACTGACCCTCCACCCCCAGCTGTGTTCCCTTCTTCCCTCAAACCCTCTACCCCAAACAGGTGGGATGGGCTGCATCCCAGCCATCTGCAACTTTAAATCAAGGAAGCAGGGGTTGGACTGGGAGGGCAGCCTCCCTGGGGGAGAATCTGTTTCTCAAACCTAAGTGATTGGGTATAAAGAGTCCCACTTGTTCATGGAGAGTAAGCATGCCATTAGTGCAAACCGTCACCTGTGCCTTTCAAGCGTGCATTGCCTGTTTGTCTCTGCTGGGAGTTGTGGCTGCCATTAGATTATGCGCTGACCTCATTCCAGCTGCCAGAGTTGGAAATCCTTTGTGGCTTTGCTGGGATAATCTTTGGTTTAGGAATTACAGCATCAGGCAGGGTTTCTGATGGATGTCATATCTTCTGCTTAGTGCAGTTCGATTTAGCACAGCCATACCCCTTCCTATGAACTTTCATTTGGTCTCTCTGTTTCCTGTGGGGATGGGGAACTTAACCAGGTGGTTTGAGCTGGAGCTCAAGTGCTCTGGGGATCAGTGGGCCAGGAACTCCTCGAACCATCCAGTCTCAGCCCCGCGCTTCTGGGGCTCTGGGAAGACTGTCCCCATTCTTTCTCTCTTTCATCCCTCTGCATCTAACAGTTGGGCTCGGGTCAGTTCAGGTTGAGAACAACAAATCCTTAAAAGAAATGTTTAAAAAGTAGATATATGTGTTTGGGATGTTGCCCTGGAAACAGCGGTCCCCCCTAGAAGAAATCTGTCAGATGATTTAGCACTTAATAGACCACACAGATTTGAAACAGCAGGACCCTGGAGAAAAGGAATTTGGAAACAAAGGGTGCCTTTGCATGAGGGGATTTAATTCTGATGAAAAAGAAAAACATGCCTCTTGGGCTCTTTTCATGTGCCCTAATAGGGAAACTCTTAGGGGCCAGATGTGGAAGTAGAGGAGCTGTGTTAGTCTTGGGGAAAAAAAAAAATGGAGCTGCCTAGTTTGGCCTGGGAACAGGGTTTGCATCTGCCCAAAATTTATGAACAGGCATAGCCTATTTTTCTTGTATTTTTTGTTTCAAAAGAAAACTGTTATTAACAGCCGAGGGAAAGGTGAAGTTCAACCCAGCCACGGGGGTCCTACTTGAATACTCATTTGTCTACATTTTGTTTTTGCAGCAAAAGGTGGAGTGAACGTTAAATAAGTGATAGGTCAGTTTTTATTTTGGGAAAATACAGTGTTCTTGAAGAAATCAAATTGTTTTGTAGGTCTGGCACTGGACTGAGCAGGGGACTGTGAATTCTGGTCTGTTTTATCATGAGCAGAGAATCCAGTTTTGGGAGCATCCCTTACACCCACGGTTTGCCTCCTGTCCCCTTCCTGAAATAGAGCATTTCTTCCTGTTTGCCTTTGAGGCACACTAACAGTTTCACATTTTTCAAAAGATTGTGGGCAATTCAAAGAAGGGGCATTTACAGATACACATTGCTAACTGTGATGTGTTAATTAAAAGAGCTCTTTTATCCTGTGATTGCTAATTGATAGCTTGTTTCATATTCTGGCCTAAATAGGCTTCTGGTCAGCTCTATTTGGCTACACTGAAGAGCTGCCACGTGAAGTATGTTCCAGTGTGGTTTTATTTCTTCATACATTTATTCTTTCAGAGGACAGGTAATGAACTCATGTGTCCACTAATGTTAGGCACGTGGATGGATGCAAAGAGGAATAAGATACATCATTGCCTTGGGGAGCTGATGGTCTGGATGGCGCCAGCTCTGACCACAGTCACCACGGAGCAGTGTGACACCTGTGGTAGTAGCCGGAGGTGCAGAGTACCGGCACTCTCTAAAGGAGAGGGGGCCCCTACTCATGGGGCTTTAGAGACCCACAGGTTTACTTGGTGTAAAGGGTGTCTAAAAAGTGAGTCACCTGGGGCTGATATGGGTGTACAAGTTTGCTAGGCCTGCAGTAACAAAATTCCACAGACTGGATGAACAACAGAAATTTATTTACTCCCAGCTCCGGAGGCTAAAAGTCCAGTTTTAGGGTCTCAGCAGATTTGATTTCTCCTGAGGCCTCTCTCCTTGCCTTGCAGAGGGCTGCCTTCTCTCTGTCCTCACGTGGTCTCTTCTCTGTGCATTCAAGTCTCTGGTGTCTTTTTCTATTCTTATGAGGACACCAGTCATACTGGATTAGGGTCCCACCCTAACAACTTCATTTTAACTTGCAATGACCTCTTTAAAGGCCCTGTCTCCAATTCAGTCCATGACAATGGGGGACAGCATTTTCAACACTGATTGAGTCCCTCTGACACGGAGGCTACTGCGTCTTTTACAGTTCTTGGCAGCTAAGGGAAATATTTGTTCACTGAGTGAATAAGGAAGGTGGGTAAAGTAGACAGGCAGGAAGGCAAGGAGGGCGTTCCTGATGGAGGCTGTGAGTGGGTATGGGAGGAAATGAGGGTGGACCTTCGAGAGTGGCACTGCATGAGAAGTGGGGTCCTAAGGGATAGTGCACAGGGGAATCCAGGTAAACTTGGCCGTTTTAACGATGTGGGTAGTGAGGAGCCATGCTGAATGCTGCAATAAATAGTGATGGAAACAGGTGATTCTAGCCACGAGATGTAGAACAGGTGAATGAATCCTCGAACACTCTAACTTTTTATAGCCATCAAATTGCTGAGTGTTGGAGGCCTTCACTCCTATGTTCTCCCCGCGCCCACACGGTACACTTGGCTCAGTGGGAGGACTGGGAGGGGGGTTGGGTGGGAAAGTGCATGGGGCTTTGGAATCAGGTAGCTCTGGGTCTCTGTTCTGCACACACTACTTACACTGGCTGAGCTGGGCTTCCAGCTGGCCCCAAAGCCTACATCCTTAGTCATGGATGTTTCACCTTTCTTAAGGTGAGGAGAGCTGCACCGGGTCGCCTCTCAGGGCTGCCAGATGCAAATCCTTGAACCCTGCAGAAGTGAGCATCCGGGGAGTTGAGGTGGGAGTTCTCTGTGTACACTCCCTACCCCTACCCACTTCCTGCAGGAAGAAAAACCTTAAATGTCATGACCTGTTCACTTGCTTTCCTTTCTCATTAGACCCAAGCTCTGGATATTGTATGTTCGAAGTTCTTCAGGCCACTTGTGCAGTACTTGCTGGGTGAATTTCCCCAGGGTGCTGGGCTGGTTTGTTAGGGTGGCCCCAGTAACTGGCCTCATTGTTGGTGGGGGGAGGGCCAACATCCTGGAAAGACTCAGGATCTGCATGGAATCAGCCCCAGCCTCTGGCCTCCTGATTACCATCTCTGTCAGGATCTGGGACGCTGGTTCTAAAAGTCTTTTGCTTGTTTAGATCTGTGGTTCTCTCTGACCCATCAAGACCTCTTAAGCATGTGGTTTTGATTCAGCCAGCGTTGACTGAGCACCGGCTGCTGATTAGACTACCCTGGGAAGCAGGTGGTCCTTTCCCTCCCAGAGCTGGAGCGAAGGCGTGCCGCTCAGCTCACAGACCGACGGCTTTGCCCACTTCTCTGTTTCCAGGGGTTTCCTAGCTGTGTCTTTCCAGGAGCTTTCTCTCAAACACAGCCTACTTATGTTTTCATTTCTTTACAGGATGAAGACATGAAGAGAAAATTTCAGAATTTGCTGTTTGAAGAAAATAAGTCAACGGCTTTACCTCAGTTCCCAGCCCAGGTATTCTAGATGGTGGTCATTAAATGTAGGCTAAATTTAAAGAGCCAATGAGCAAGGATGATGAGTTTGAATAGCCTCTTTAATAGCAATTTTTTTTTTTAGGAATAATGTAGTAGATATTTTTTTTTCAGTTTGATCTGCTCTAGTACCCATAGAAGATTTAATAATGAAGAGTATGCTTAATCCATTAAGGAAGCACACCTAGGGATTGTCATTCAAGAAGTCTCCCGCAAGGCAAGATTAAAAGACTGTATTAGAGGCTCAAATTTAAATTTATTGAAAAATTTTAAATTGAGTGAGTGGTTGATGATTTATTGATTATAATTTTACTCCTCCCGAGTTCTTTGTAAGTGTAAGTTAACATCTGTTCATTCTTTTCTTGACTCCGTTTGGTGAATGATAGCACTCCTTTGCCCATTCTCCCCTTGCAATTTTATAAGTGGGAAACCAAAGACACAAAAAAGGCAGTCTTCCCACAAAAGAGCAAGACTTTGGGCTCCCAGTGAAAGGTATTGTCAGCTCTTTAAACTTCATAATTTAAGAGAGTATGACCAAGAGGAGGCTGGTTATGCTGCTTACTGTAACTATACATCATTGAGTGATGGGGAGCCACAGGGAGAGAAGGGTCCATTTGATGAGTATGTCTGAGTCTGGGGGACTTGGTGGGGATTCAGATGTCAGTGAGAACAACCAGTAATTTTTGATACTAGAAGTTTCACATGAAATGCTCTAAATGTACTGAGAGCATAGGGGGAAACTTTGATAATCTTAAAGAAGCCAGTGGTTTCCTTTGAACATTTCTTCCTTTTTTTTTTTTTTCCCCAGCCTTCTACGAGTCGAAAACGGCTCCTTGAAGGGGAACCAGAGGAAGCCGGCACCACAAAACGCCTGGCTGTATGTGCTGCTGTCTCGTGAACACTGGTTGAACATGAAAGAAATGAATCTTCTTGAATTCTGCTGTCATTTTCTTTATATTTGGTTTTTTAGAGTTTGTGTTTTAATTATGGGAAGGGTTACTTTTCCATAGTCATCAGTACACAACTAAAAATCTAATGGAACTTGGGCTTTGTGCTTTGGCTTGATGATCAGCTCTTTAGTTGGCATGACTTTTTGTGTATTTGAAATCATGTGCTTTTTGTCTGGCACTCTATCTTGGCTGTCACCAGGCAGATTTCTCAGGATATGTCCCTAGTTTCAGCCTAGGCCCCATGCATACAAATTCTAAAGGCTCCCTAGAAAGTCGCAGGGGAAGGGGCACAGTGAGGTGTGGGTGGAGTTTGTAGAGACTGGCTGGCTGCCAAAGTCCTCCTGAGATAGTAGGTACGTTGGTGCACGGGCCTGTTTTAAAATCTCATCCTCACCCTCATGCAGATACAGGTCCACAGTTAGGCTCAGGGAAATAAGCTAGCTATTATATAATTCCACTTGTATGAGGTACTTAGAGTAGTCAGACTCACGGACAGAAAGTAGAATGGTGCTTGTTAGGAGCTGGGGGTTGGGGGAATTTTTGTTTAATGGATACAGAGTTTCTATTTTGCAAGATGAAGAGTTTTAGAGATGGATGGTATTGATGGTTGTACAACAATGTGAATGTAGTTAATATCACTGAACTGTGTACTTAAAAAAATGGTTAAGATGTTAAATTTTATGTGTATTCTACCACAATTAAAAAAAAAAAAAAAAGATACAGGACCACAGTCCCTGAAACCTTGGGGCCAGGTAAGTTGTAAAACTCAGTATTTTCATGATTTTAGGAAGGGGACCTGCATGGCACATCAACTGTGTTATGTGTGATAACCAGCAGAGTCCTGTTACCAAACGTTAATGTTTTTGTAGCAGATATTCACAGTTAAGGGATAAAGAAGACTTTAAGGCATATCAGGTCAGCCTTTCTGTCAAAGGAGTCAATAGGTGACTCATTTTCAGAGATGTTTAGGTTTTAGAAATGCAGATAAGGCATGTGGGTATGTCCTGCTGACTGAACAATGATCAAGGAGGCCCTGTGTAAAGCCCCTCCCTTGGTTGGTCTTGTCTAGTCCTCAAAGTGTTTCTGTGGGCTAGGTCCTCTGACCACTCTGTTATAGGTGAGCAACCCAGGCTGAAGGAATAAGGTGACTTGTCCAATGTCACACAGCTAGTTGGTGGCAGAGCTGGGACCCAACCCAGATCTTTCTGACTCTAATGTTCCTTACTTCCTTAGTCCCATATTTAATTAGACTCAGGGATGTTGACTCTGACAAAACTCAGTCTCATGTCTAAATCTTGAATGCTTCTGTCTTAATTATATGTGGGTACAGCCCCATGATCTGGAAGTTGAGACATACTGGTTAAAGGAACAGGAGGCCCATTTAAGTTACTTCATGGAAGAGGGGATTTGTTTTCAAGGATGCAGATGGCTGGCCCTGGGAGCAACCAGAACCCCAGATAGTTCTAATGGCTGTCGCCTCTTGTCTGTGACCCACTCCTTTTACTTCTCTTGTAACTTCAGCTGGTTGATGCCACATTGTAGCTTGCTGGCCATGCCATAAATTGAGTGCCTCAGTTCAGATGCCACTGGTGAGTCAGCCAGGGCAGGGCCAGGGGCACACAACTGTTGCCCCAGGCAATGGGGGTAGTGGTTGGCATTTTCCATTGCAAGGGTGTGCAAGTATTCTGAGGCTTGGCTGGCCTGGGGACTAGGTGGGGATTTAGGTGGTTTTCATATTTAAAGGAATGGGGTTGAGATTGTCAAGTTAGTTGGGCTTTAGCTCATTTGAATAATGTTAAGGCTATGATTTCTTGGGGCATTTTTCCCTCTGGGGGCAATCAGCGAGTTCTTTTCTGTTTCTAGAACACTTTATATTAGCTTCCTCTGATTATACCTACCATAGTAGGCTGAATAATGGCTCCCAAAGATGTCCTCATTATAAGCCCCAGAATTTATGAATATGTTCCTTTACATGGCAAAAGAGACTGCCGTTAGGGGTCTTGAGATGGGAAGATTATCCTATCTTACTGGGGTGGGCCCAATGTCATTACAGTGTTCTTTTTAAGAGGGACACAGGAGGAATCAGAGTCAGAAGAGATGATGTGAAGCACTCTGAAAATGGCAAAAGAGGCCACAAGCCAAGGAATACAGGCTCCCACTAGAAGCTAGAAAAAAGCAAGGAAATGGATTGTCCCCTAAGAGCATCTGGAAGGAACCGGTCCTTACGTCTTAACTAGCCACGTGAAACTAAGAGAATACATCTGTGCTGTTTGAAGCCATCCAATTTGTGGTAATTTGTTGCAGCAGCCATGGGAAGCTAACATACTCACCAGTGGAGAGGTATCAGCTGCTGACCTAGGGCCACCTAACATTCACTTTATAACCTCTTCTTTTTGTTGGGGAGAGTCCTCCATCCCATGAAATGGGGGAGTGGGAGATGGTAAAGCTGAGTCCACTGACCTCTCACTAGGACGCTGAAGGGGTCCCTAGGGGTTTTCCCTGGTAGAGTTTGTCTCACTGGCCACCCAGCTGAAGATAATCACAGGGCTTTGAAACTTGAGCAAATGGAGATAGAGCAAATGGATGACAACATTAGTGTTGAGAGCAATATTGTGCTAATCTGAACTCTGCATTTTCTGACTTTGGGCAAGTTACTCCAAAACGGGTGCAATAAGAATATCAACCTCATGGTGCTTATGAGGATTCAATGGTAGAAGGTCTATTTAAAGTGCCTGGCACGTACGTAGTAAGGGTTCCATCATGAAAGGTGGGAGGGCCACCTAAGTAGCCAAGGGGAGCCACGGAGAGTTTTTGAGCAAGGAAGTATCATCTGTTTAGCTTTTTGGAAGGCACAAAAAAATGGGTAGAGAATTGGAATGTCTTTGGCAAAGCAGATTTGAGGAATGCCAGGTCTGGAGTGGGTGGTGGGAGCAGAGGTGGAGGGGCATTTCCCAGGGGCTGAAGTAACTGCCACTTCTTTCTGAAGAACAAGCATGTTGCTTCATGGTGCGCCTGCTGTGTGCCTAGGTGACAGTGCAGGGACAGTCTTAATTGTGCCAGTCCTCCACCTTATACCTCCTAAGCTAACTGCATCCCCATTTTTCTGGGGAAGACATCCCTTGTCCCACTTGCCCCCACTCCATGTCCTTCAGGAGAAATTGACCTCATCCGTTTCCTAGAGGGACTCCATAAAGCCAGGTCTGGCCAATCTTGTGATTGGCTCAGGCAACGGCATGTGACCCAAATGGGTGCAATAAAAGTCAACCCTGAGATTTTTGGAAGGAACTATGGGGAATCGGCTCCTGCTTTCCTGGTCAAATATGAGGTGGGACACTATGGGAAGAGAACTACAAGAATGAAGCCATCACAGAGGGAAGCAGAGCTGAGATTGGAGAAAGACTGAGGTTATTGTTTGAGTGCCTAGATCTAGCTATGCCTGAAATGAGGTACCGCCCCAGGACTTCAGTATGTTCCCTGTTTTATTTTACCTCAGGCTGAGGCCCCCCCCCCCTTTTTTTTTGTCACTTGTATCTGGAAAAGATCAGACTAATAAATTCAACCATTTACAAACTCCAAGAGAAGCTTGGAGACTCCTTTCCCCCTCTAAAAAAAGTAATGTTTTACTAGGGAAAACATTCTCTGCTCCTGTTTCTCTGCCAACTTTAGGGTTTTCAGAGAGGTTTGGGGCAGAGAACGGAAAGCAGAGATGTGGGAACAGTCCTTCCCCATCAAAGTTGTGTGAACCCCTCCCAGCTAATTACACCGCAAGGTTCGGGAGCAGAGCCCCTTTCATTAAACTTTTAGGAGTCTTGGAAGGATAAGGCTGGAGTCGTATCAGTGAAGCTCGAAGAGCATGGTGTGTGCCAGGCATTGTGCTCGCCGACAAACACGCATCATCTCCTGAAAGCTCATCTCTTGTGAGTTATGACTGCCGCTCTCTCCCTTTGCAGACTTAAAGATCAAGGTTCTCTCGCTCAGTCAAGTGACCTATTCAACATTTCCCCAGTTTGTAATAGATGGAGGCGAGACTTGAACTGAGATTTCCCTTCTCAAGTGCCTTTGGTTTTGAACCATTAATCTAAACTATCTTTTAAGAGGTCTTGACACCCGATTACCACTTGGTAAGTCTTAGGCGCAGTGTTGACATTTTATCTGGATTATTGTGTCCTCCCAACATGCCTTCGTTGTCGGACCTTCCTGATTAAGGAGGAACAGATCCCCTACACCTGACCTTAATCACGCAAGTTAGTGGAGATGCGGGATTCGAAGGGTCTCAGTGGAGTCTGGTTCTCTGAGACATGGGCATTCGCTGTGCCAGTTACGCTGGAACACGGCCTGCACACCTCCACGACCAGGATCTCATCATCTTAGACACGTCTTTCGCCCGGCCTTTCTTGGGGGTAATTCCCTCGTGGCCCAGACCTTCGCTCCAAGCCACGCGTACCAGGTGAAGCAGAACGAGCAGGGCCAGGAAGAGGCAGAGGAACCTGGGGTCGCCCGCAGTGCGGCAGGCGGCGGCGCCGAACCCAGAACGGCTAGCGTTCCAGCCGGGCCGCGCGGGAGCGGAGGGGGTGAGCGCCACGCCGGGAACAGCGGCCGGCTAGGAGGGCGCGAGGCGGGGCAGGAGGGGAGGGGGCTTGGCGCGCGCGCGCGCGCGGTGGGTGGGGGGAATTTCCGCGGGGGCGCGCGGTCGCGGGGGGGTGGTGTGGGTCGCCGCGGCGGCGCGCGGGACGGCGGGAACATGGCGCGCGGAGCCGGCGCGCGCGCCTAGCTGGCGGGACCGTTAGCTCGAAGCGGACACGGCCCGGGGCCCGCGGGGATGGAGCAGTTGCCGCCGCCGGCGCTCGAGCCAACCCCGGGGCCGACCCTGGCACGGAGCCGTAGGCGGCGGGAGCCTGAGTCGCCGCCGGCGCCGGTGAGTGCGTGAGGGGCGCGGGCCGGGAGACTTTCTTTGTGAAACTCCGTCGGTGCGAGC